TAAGAATCTTACCTACTTCACTACGATAAAGTCGCTAATACGTAGGTAGGTCCGCTAGTCGGAACTACTCGGTTAGTACAAGTTCGATATCCGTTATACCCTAGGACGCGATAATAGTCGGGCCGACGTACTAAGCCGACGTAGCGACTATATAGAAGGAAAGGAACAAGTGTAGTATAATATACTTAGAACAAACTAAGACGGGAGTCTAAGCGCTAACACGAAGGAATTTAATAATATTATCTAGGTTCTTTAAGACAACGAAGAACAATTCCTAATCTAATAAGGGAAATATTAGGTACTAAAGGATCGCGAGGAAGAATGTATTCGACAACATTACGATAACCTAGAGTACGGACATCTAGGAGTTACGAAGACAATAGAACTAGTCTAGCGAAGTTTTGGCTTTCTATATATAAGGTACCGAATCGCGGTATATATTAAGAAATGCGTAATATACAATTAGAACAAAGCCTCGAGACACGCTAAATACGGACATATCTAGTTTAGAACTCCACCTACTTAACTATAGGACGAAGTTATAATAGACTTTATTATTAAACTACTACCCTCGAAGGACAAGGTTAACGGAGTTACCTACGACATAATCTTAGTTATAGTAGATCGACTAACGAAATATATACACTTTATTCCTATAACGGAAAAGGCTAGCGTAGAGCAACTCGGATACCTTATACTAGACAGACTAGTACGATACTACGGCATCCTAGAAGTGTTTATTATAGATAGAGACAAGCTGTTTACTTCAAACTACTAGAAAACACTTATAGTAATAATCGGGATACGCTATAAGCTGTCTATAGCCTATTACCTATAGACAGACGGCTAGACAGAAAGAACGAACCAAACACTAGAACAATACCTTCGACACTATATAAATACTATATAAGATAATTAGGCAACACTCTTACTAATAGCGTAGCTTATACTAAACAACTATCGTTCCGAAACTACTAGATATATACTATTCTTTACTAACTTTAGGAAGAATCCGAAGACGTTTAGATTGTAACAAGACTAAATAAGACTATACCCTAATACGGAAAAGGCAATAATCGCTTTAGAAGACCTAAAACGGGTATATAACTAGTTATAATCCGCAATCTAAGATACTTAGGACCGGATTTCAGGGCTATATAACAAGAAGAGAAAAATAGCGCCTTAGCTAAAGAAGGGGGATAAGGTCTACCTCCTTACTAAGAACTTAAGAAGTCGGAAACTAACGAAGAAACTAGACTACGTCAAAGTCGGGCCATTTTTAGTTAAAGAAGCCCGAGGACTAGTAAACTACCGACTCAAATTACCGGTAGATGCGAAGATTCATCCCGTGTTCTATATCTCTCTTTTAGAACTAGCCGACGCCGAGACACCTTACTAGGAAACATTTTTATATATACTAGAAGAAGAAAACGAATTCGAAGTCGAAAGGATCCTAAGAAAGGAAGGTTAGCGATATCTTATTAAGTAGAAAGGATACGACGAATTAGAAAATACCTAGGAACCGGAGAGTAACCTTACGAACTGTCGCTAGCTACTTTAGCGTTTCTACTAGAATTATAAGGCAGTTGCTAGAACTCCGAGTTAGGAACAAGGGATAAGTCGGCCTAAGAAGTAAGAGGCATCTAGAAAACGTCCTCTAACTCTAAAGGGTTTCCCTCGGGTTCTAGTAGGAAATCGGAAGGCGCGTTAAGAGCCTTAGGACCCTCCGAAGGCAGCTTCTATAGCTTAGCGAACTCCTTAGAGATCGCCTTCTCTTCCCGCTCCTCTACCGACCGAAGTTGTTTACGAAGACGATAGACACGAGCTATCGCCTCCGTTACCTTTTCCTTAGTATCGTCTAACTTACGCTTTAGTTAACGACGCTAGTTCCGAAGACGCTCCTACTCGGTCCAAGTTACCGTAACGTCGCAATTCTTATAGCCCTTACGGACACACTCCGAACAGTACCTAAAACGAACATCTACTATATACCGAATTAAATTCTCCTTCGACGATCGTACTATACGGTAGGTAGAACATAGAGACAGTATTTCGCGACCGTTACTTTCGACTAAAGACGCTTGTCTTTTACGACGCTCCTTTCGAGTTAGCGGCTCTCTACTTATAGCGGGAAAGGGAGGAAAAGAAGACACCTACCGAAAGATTCAGCTCGGGACGCGCTAAAGATAAGAGAGAGGATAGTGTTACGGATCGAAGTAGGAGCGAGGCTACTTCGAGAATTCCTAGCTAGTAAAATAGAAGAGAGACCCTACGCGTATAGCGAGGCACGTTACGCGTTACGTGTTCGACTAACGGAAGGAGCCGGTAGTCGAACTCTACGAGAAGGACTACGTAACAAGTTCGACCGTTCGACTATAGCTCTAGTCGGATAGCTAGTTTCTAGCTAGTAGGTAGGACAAGTTAGTCGAACTAGAAATCTATATAGGAACACTAAGAATGCCTCTAGCTTTCGATATGTTCAACTTACTATAGTATCTTACTACTTAGAATACAATCCCTTAAGTTACTATACTACTCTATCGCTTTACTCTTCCTCTACTAGACCTCTCTACTAACGAGCCTAATACCGATTAAGCCTTATACAAGTGATCCTTGTACATTGTAAGATTATTAAGTTATAGACTTAACACGAACTTACTATATCTAATACTAAACCTTAGTATATACGACGTTTACTTATAATATAGAGTTTATAAAGGCTACGTTACGGAACCGTCTAAGTAATCGCCCCTAGCCGCCCCTAATCCTACTAGGGGCGGTTAGGGCGGCTAGGGCGGTTAGGGCGGCTACTAGTATATTATCCTACCTAGTAGGATTACTAGGCTAGTAGTAGAATCGGGAGTAGTTAGGGGCGATTATTTAGAAACAGATCTAGCCTACCGTAGTACTTTAAGGTATACGGTCACTTAGTATATACTCTTTAGGTCTTAGTAGCTATCCCGAACTATATTTAGTATCCCTAGGTCCCCTACTTACCTCTTAATAGGTAGGTACTAATAATCGGCGAGTAACGTATATACGTAAAAATAGCCGGTTTCGTAGGTTTTAAATAAGAATATTACGTAAAGGTGGAATATCCACGCCGTAAAGCCTATATACGCTAAATATGGACCCCGGAATAAGCTTATTACTAAGCTATTCGCTACTTAGATTTCTAATAGAAGCTTAGATAATTAATATTAGAGTAGATATTAGCCCGATTAGGATAAAAATTATATCCCTAAGTAGCTAGCGCTCTATACTATTAGGTCCGTACGTACCTATTACCCTATTAGACTTAGTACGGTTAATGCAGCTCCGGATACTTAATTTAAGAATTTAAATATATAGAGGGGGTAAGAGGGTTATATAAGGAAAGTTAGTCCTAACCCCTTATATTATACTAAAAACAGAGTACTTTGTATATAGATTACTAAGCAATCTGGCTAGCGGATAAAAAGATATAGTACTAAATTCTTAAAAAAATACTTAATTATTTAGTACTAGAATAAGCTAGCCTTAGGGTATCTAGCTATACTTTCTATATAAAAGTTATAGTATTTTACGTAAAGAATAAGATTATAAAAAAAAGTTCCGAATTAGGAAGATTTTAGTCCTGGCAGCCCTTAGCTACCTACTAACTACTCTAGCTACCCCGACTACTCTCGATTTTAGAATCCTTATCTTTAGTACCTTATATCTCTACGAGTATTAGAGCTATTATAAAATTTTCTATATAAAAAATATAGTACTTTTCACGAAGAAAAACTTTGTCTCTAGCTATTTCCCGATCGGGAAGTGGCCGCCCCGTAGCAGCCCTAACCGCCCCTAGCTAATTACCGGACGAGTAGCTAGCGTAGTAGGATTAGTAGGCGGCTAGCGGGCGGCTAGGCGGTTACGTAGCTAGGGGCGATTACTCGTACGGTTCCGTAACGTACGGTTACTTAGTAAAAAGTAATTAATTTAAGTACGTAGCTATAGCGCTAAGTTATTATCTTTTTTCCTAGTATTTACTTTAGCTTTTCTCCTTTTTCTATAGCTTTCTATACTTAGCTAACTACTATTAAACTTCTATACTAGACTATTATATTTCTTATACTTATAATAAATAGCTAAGAATAGAAGTAATACTATTAGATAGTATATAATCTAGAAGAGTAAGAAGTTACTAGTAGAAGTTAGTCTATTAGATAAGCTTCTTATATATTCTTTTATTTTAGATTATACTATCTATAGAAAGTAAGAGCTAGGAATATATATTCTATATCTATTAGTATATAATTTCTTCTAAGAATATAAATATTAATTATACTACTCTCTACTAAGTTATATTTACTTACTATAGAGTATAGAATATACTTAGTACTTTAGGTTTAGTATATACTTTTATAACCTACCTACTTAGTAGCTATAAGAGCGCAAAATAGAAAACTAAGGGGAAGCTCTACATGTCTAGCCAGGTACGATAATCCGCGCCGTCGACACCCTACGAGTAGGCCTACTATTATCCTACGCTAAGACACTGCCTACGGGAGTCTGCTATAGCGCATGCCTTCTCTCCAACGAACCGCCTCTTTCGCCTTCCTTGTTTTTAGGTGACTGAGCACCAATTAGGGAGCAGCCAACCCTGATGGAGCTGTCGCTGCTGTCACTGGGTTGAGGGTTGGGTGCCTGCTTCGATCCTACGACCTCCTATGGCTCCGTACAGCTATCGACTTGGGTTCTCTAAAGTACCATTTCAACCTTCTAGCTCAGCTCGGCTCTAGCTACTACCGCCGCGTTCATTGGGTCAGGACGACCTCCTCCAGCTCGGCCTCAAAGCGACAACCCCTGCAATTCGATCAGCGTCCTGCACCACCTCCAGCGATTCAAACCATATCGAAACCTTTGCCTACGACTCTTCGCTCCGCCCCAAAGCCGAAGGGCAATTCCTCGAGCGAGTCTGAGCAATCCACATCCTTGGTTCTTGGAGCTGCACATTCACGACCTCTGGAATATGTCTACAGACAACCTCGTGAAAGAGGCCCTTCGAAATCCTCTCTATACATGCCCTGCCATCCGTTCCATAGACCTCCCAGTTTGCGGCGACGGTTCCCGTCCTGCAGATGTGGATCGATTGGGGAGGCCATGATACCACTGGATATCTTCTGCTTCCGGACGCTCGTAGACCGTTCATCATCCCAATTCACCCCAGGGACAAATCCCACATAGGCATAGGACGATTGTGGCAGAGACCGCGCTTGCGTTGGAGTCTCAGCTCTAGCCGAGCGCCCGACTGGACAAAGGTCTGATAAAGGGGAAGACGACAAGATGTCAATAGCTTTCTGGATTTGACGTCGATTTTCTCTACGCGTAATGAGAGATATGGGACTGTCCTGCACGATCGCGCATCCAGTAGCCTCGTCTATCTGGCTCTGAGGCGTGGGTTGCCTAGCCGTCACGATGTGCGTCGGTTCCTGATCACTACAATCTGCGAGCGGTGTGGCTTCATAGCCCGCATGGACAATGTGCTCCGGGACCTCGCCGTTGGCCAGGAAAGCAAAATCGACAGCAGTCATTTCGTCCGCGTGTACCTCTTCCAATCGGCTCCCGTTCGTTCCATTGACACCTACATTTCTGCGCTCGGGTGGTGCTCGAGCAGGGAGCATTCGATTACGTTGGCAGCCTGAAGCACTTTCTCGTTCCCCAGCGCTAGCGTGAGAGGCATCCTCAATGTTCCCTGGTGAAAGCGTGTCGGAGACCATCAGCGTTCTCTCATCCCGCTGATCGTTTACAATGGAGTCTCGATTGCCGCTCGCAGGCGCATCAGGAGTAGCCACAGATGGTACAGGAGTAGCGACTTTATTGATCCTCTTCATTTTCGTGACAGATGATAACTTCTGCTTCTTCCTGTCTCGTGGCTCCGCACTCTCCGGGGAATCAAGAAGCCCGCACGGTCGCTTCAACGGAGGCAGCGGAGGAGCAAGAGCCTGGCCCGGAAGAGTTGTCTGGCATCTCGGTAGCGGCAGAGGTTCAGGCTGCTCCTCTCCCTCGCTCACCTTGGATCCTGCCACGCCCATCGTGTGCTGGTCTAGGCGGGTTGCGCTGGACGGGAAGAGTGTTCAAGGGAGATCTGCAGTCAACCATCGTAGGGAAAGCTTTGAGAGAAGACAATGCAAGACACGCGTGAATTGCTGTTTTACTCACGCGTCGCCACACACTTGCTGATACGTGAAGATGCAAGTTTGCATCGTGTTCTGCCCGTTTGCACTGTGTTCATTTGGGCAGGCGGGAAGTCGCATATGCGCTCGCTGCCGACCGCATCCATCCTACATTAAGATGTCCAGTCTCCGGGTACAACCGCCGAGGCTATCCGCACGGTATCATACCGGTGACAGCAGTCAACGCCTTGTGTCGCATGGTATAGCCTTATATCCTCGTATTGACGGAGCTTTTATTTGATCCGCGGCCGGGATGTGATGCTGCCACGGCGCAGTCGCAGAGCATTCGTATCCACCGCGATGGGAGAGCTGCGAAGCGCGGGCGGCGAAATCTCTTCCTTGACCAGATGCGCTGATGAGCTGATGTCTGCGGCGATGTAACACGCGGACAGGGGGGTGAAAAGGATTAAAATAGGGGACCCGTGATGCGGCGGACCCCACGCCATTGGCGGAGGGGGAGCACAAGGTTCAATGCAAGGGTCGCACTGTGCACTGGGACTCCGGCTGGCACCTGAGAGGTGGCTACCGAGACTCCCTTCCAAAAAGTTGTCCTCTCCCTTGTGCCTCGGAAACTTTGACCGACACATCTCTTCCCTGACACCACAACAACCAGAAAACTTTCACGCCTGCGCAACAACACCACACTCTGCCATTCGCTTGTTGCGCCCTCGTGCAATCGCACCTGCTTCGACGAGAGACTCGACACACAGCAGCTGGCCCTGCACGGCTTATAATACACCCCGCCGCCTTTACTACTACCACCCTCCACCATCATGAAGGGTTCGTAACGCTCAGTCGCATGCGCAGCGAGTCAATCGCATTCGTCCGGGCACGTTGGCGCTGACAATGTTATCACAGCTCTAATTCTCGTCGGCGGTTTTGGAACCCGCCTGCGACCTCTCACCCTTACCCTCCCTAAGCCTCTCGTCGAATTCGGCAACCGTCCCATGATCCTTCACCAGATCGAGGCTCTGGCAGCGGCTGGCGTCACCGACATCGTTCTCGCCGTTAACTATCGCCCCGAGATGATGACCGAGGCGCTGAAGAAGTACGAGGAACAATACAACGTCAAGATCGAGTACTCGGTCGAGACCGAGCCTCTAGGAACGGCAGGGCCCTTGAAGTTGGCAGAGAAGATCCTGGGCAAGGACGATTCGCCGTTCTTCGTGCTGAACTCGGATGTCATCTGCGAATACCCGTTCCAAGACCTGGTCAAGTTCCACAGCTCGCACGGCAACGAGGGCACGATCATCGTCACCAAGGTCGAGGAGCCCTCCAAGTACGGTGTCATCGTGCACAAGCCAGACCACCCGTCGCGTATCGATCGTTTCGTGGAGAAGCCTGTTGAGTTCGTCGGAAACCGCATCAATGCCGGTCTTTACATCCTTAACCCGTCAGTGCTGAAGCGCATCGAGCTGCGACCGACTTCGATCGAGCAGGAAACTTTCCCTGCCATGGTCAAGGACGGCCAGCTGCACTCATTCGATCTAGAGGGGTTCTGGATGGATGTTGGACAGCCGAAGGACTTCCTCAGCGGCACTTGCCTCTACCTCTCTTCCCTGACCAAAAAGGGCAGCAAGCTCTTGACGTCGACTTCTGAGCCATATATTCACGGCGGCAACGTCATGATTGACCCTTCAGCCAAGATCGGGCAGAATTGCAAGATCGGACCCAACGTAACGATTGGTCCCAACGTGGTTATCGGTGACGGCGTCAGGCTGCAGCGATGTGTGCTGCTCGCCGGCAGCAAGGTCAAGGAGCACGCATGGATCAAGAGCACAATTGTCGGCTGGAACAGCACGGTCGGCAGATGGGCTCGTCTCGAGAATGTGTCAGTGCTGGGTGACGACGTGACCATTGGCGATGAGATCTACTGCAACGGAGCATCAGTCTTGCCGCACAAGAGTATCAAGGCAAACGTCGACAGTAAGTCAAGATCAAACCCGTGTCAGAAGGTGGCGCTAACATTGGAGCAGCTCCGGCGATTATCATGTAGAGTTTCGTGGATCTTGGTCACACTCATTCTCGGTTGGCATGTATGCTTGCATTGTGTCTCGGAAGCTTATGATCTCCACGGGACAGGACAAGAGCGTCGGCCTGGTAAAAGTGCATGCGGCGTTGGGGCGTTCGTATGAACGTGGCACAGCACAGCATTTGACTCTCAGCGCGGGAGCAGAGCGAATAGAGCTGCGTGATGGCGTGGTGTGCGGCGGGAGCCAATAGCATCGATGAAATGGGAAGGTAGGCAGCAGAGGTTCATGCAAAACATAGGTACCTGGCTGCTCAATTCATGTATAACGATACAAAGATTCTGGTGTACTACGCGAGGCCAGTCGCTCGATATACTTAGTGGCCTATGATTATTATCAGTACACTGTCATTCAAATGGACACGTCTGTGCTGCTGGTGCCGTGGTTGTCGGGTGCCACGCGTGCTGGGCCGACCGCCACGCGAGAGTGAGGCTGCCGCGGACGCGGTCATCCCGGTCATCAGCCTGGCTTCAACCCTTGGACTTGGTGACGGGATGCAAGCGATTGAGGGGGCAGCGCTTCCGATTGGCGTGCCTGGCCTTGGGTCAGAGCGGACAGCACGCAACCTGATGAAGTGGGCCTGCGCGTCTGCGGATGTGTGTTGCAGCTCGGGAAGATACCGTAGTACTTACTAGGCGCTACCCTCTACTACCTGTAATACGTACTAGCCACTGTGTCCTATTCGTATAGCTGATTAGGAGTATTATTACGAGATAAGCTTCCGTTCCTACTATCTTATACTAACTATCTTATTTTAATTACTACTACTATATCTACTATATTTAACTACTCTATAGTATCTATACTACTAGTTATTATATACTATGTTTTATCTAAATACTAAATAATAACTCTTAATAATCTACTTAAATTAGTCTAATAAGATCTATTTATAGATAGTACTTAGCTATCTAGAGATATTAAGTATAAGAATAATAGATAAGGTAGTACGTAGTATAAGATATTAATAGATACGGCTTAAGATACTAAGTTTTAGTATATTATAACTTTAGTAGAACTAGAACTATAATTACTAGTATTTATCTTAGTAGATATATAGACTATTATAGAGGTAGCTATAGCTTAGCTAAGACTATAGATATACTTTTCTAAAGCTATTATTCCTTTAAGTATATATACTTATCTACTAAGTTCTCTCTATATAAGCTCTATATAAGTAATAGTATACTAACTTAGAAGAGAAAGTATAAACTATATAAATATATATAGATAGCTCTATCTAGACTAGCTAAGCCGGCTACTTAGATAATGTAGCACTTATATACTGCGTTATTTACTTTGTTACTAACGCTAGTAACAGCTAGTAAGGTAGCCGTAAAACGAAGCCACCCCTACGTGCATGTCGTCTTTTCGCCGTCGCTAGCGCATCATTCGGTCCCACCCTCCTCCCTTCCTTCTCTCCACCAGCTTAAAAGTGGTTTCCGAGCGAGCGTGAAGGTGAAGGTGGATTCGACGCACGCGCACTCTAACCTGTTTCCCAGTAAGAAACCTCGCACCCGGGAGCGCAGTGGAGTCCGCTATCATTAGTCAGGTGGGCCTTTAGACGAGCGCCAGAGGCTACCTAGAGGCGACAGAGTTGCGAGAAGGGCGCGGAGAGGGGTGGAAGGTGGAAGGATCTTCGATTTCCCTCGCCCGCCCTGGTCGCAGGTGCCGCCTTGCATTGCAGGTACCTAAGGCCAATCACCGCAACTGCATCCGCGAGACAGAGGTTCGTACCTACTTCTCGCTGCAGCTGCAACGCCTGCCGCTACTGCTGCCAGATTTTCCCCTAGGAGGTAGGTACGTGACCTTACCTCACCATGGTCATCGCCTACCGTCGTGGCTGCCTTCCTGGAGTTTAATAGCCACGCCTTGTCCCGCCCGCAACTCTACTGTCTACCTTACTATCCCATCTCCCGTCCGCCAGCCTACCTACCTTACCTTACCCACTCTTCGACGACACATCTCCGCCAACCCAACTCGTCTCGACGACAACACTGCTCATCGGGCATGCGTTGGCCGAGTCGACATGGACAGACCACCTCTCTGCCTATGTTTTCCCTGCATCATGTACTACCTGGGCGGCTACATCTACCCCAAGGCTGAAAACCAATTCTACCCCATCCTCCAGGCCAAGGGTTTCACGGTCGATGAACAGAAACAAATATCGGAGGAGTGGTACTGGGTTGCTTTCGAACGAGAGACCGCTGTCAAGGACTACCTTCGAGGCTATGTGACCTTCAGAGACGGATGTTGGTGGAGGCCACCTCCTCGACCGTCGTCTGCACGATCTGGACGGTCGACACCTTCGTCGGCATCGGGTCCATCGACTTGACACGATACGATACGACGATACGATATGGAAACCACGCATCACTCCATCACAACACCACGAACTGTGTCTACATGAGGAACTGGATGGTCGACGTATCTCGACGACAAGACAAGTCTGTACCGAAACAGGCATCGACAAACCGAACCTCCCCTACTTGTCACCATATTGACAAACGGCATTAGATTCGATCCATTGTCTTCATCAACAGTCCCTCGCAACAACCAACAGCCAATATGGAATACACTTGAGCACCCTCAATACCACTCCCACAACCAAAACCTCCAACAAGCAAAACGATCAGGACGCACCCCTCACGCTGTGCCGACAAGAAGCATTGTTCCAGCGAAGGAAGGAACCACGGCATCAACGAACGACTCCTTCGATCCCGATTCGGCTGTGGCTTGGGACCACCTCGAACTTACCCCAATGTCGGTACGCAATGACTCTTCCGCCTTGTACATGTAGGCGCCAGATTGCAAAAGCCCCAACACCGGAGTCACCGAACAGGCGGGTCCAGCTGCTGATCGAATCAGCAATCGTCACGGCATACCGTCCTGCAGGCGCGCAGACGTTGCCTTCCGGTCTTTCAACCATCGAAATGGTCGTTCAGGAGTAGCGGGAGATCCAGACTTCTCCCTCAATGGAGTTGTCATCTTTCTTTCAGCTCTTCTTGAGGCCGAGCATAATCGTTCGAACTACGAGATGTCATTTCCCTACGACGATTGGGCCGGCCGCGATCATGTAACTACGCGAGCTGCGAGTGTATCACAAGGTTTGAAGAGGAAGGAATGCATGATGCGAGAAAGAGTCACACGCGGCGGATGGAGGGGTACAAGTGCGCGGCGTTCAGAATAGTCCAAGGATCATGGCGGCAGGATGCGTGGTTCTGTGAACCCTATCCGAGGATGTGTGTCTTTTGAGTTTGCGATCGTCAACCTTCGGAGCTCCCGCTGGAGCCGCACCCATTGGGTTGCGGTTGGGCCGGATCGACGCGTTTGGGTCGGGAGGGTTTGCTTGTCTGTTACGACCACACTGCTACAGTATGTATCGCGTTCGGTAGACATTGTGTACGCTCGAAGGCATCGCACTTGAAGTTGTCGATCCGGTCGTAGCCAGGCTTTTACCCAGTCTTGGTCGGTGCATGAGGTATAAAAGTTCGTTCAACGGCCTATCAGAGTGCCCTAATCTTTGTCGACGACTGCAAACACACCGAACATTGCGTGAATAATCTGTCCCGGTATGCGATGGATTTCGAGACCCGCCTGACGATAAGCAATGATTCAAACAGACTTTCTGGACTCCCTCTTAGGAAAGAGCGCCCTCTTAGGAAGGAGGCGCTCGGCCGAACGTGTTCACCATGCTGCTCGCTCCTGTTGCGAAGGGAGCACGTCGCGGTCGCCGCGGCGGCGGCGGCGGCGGCGGCGGCTATAGAGTCCAAAGATTGTTTTTCCAATGACTGGACGTTCCCATAGGATCTTACGTCCTTTGGAGATCGATCAGTGAGTCACAGCTCTGCGATCCCAACGACATGCAGTTTATGTGCAGCCTCATGATGCTTCATAAGCGACGGTCGCCGGATCACGTGGTGGTATGGCTTGGCACAGCCGTCAACCTGATATAACACAATGACCACTGGAGTCGGTCAAGCGTTGTCGGAGCATTGGTCGGGCAGCAGCTATGTCCAGGAAGCCACATCCGGAGACTGGTACATGCAGGGTGCATATCATGCAAGCGTCTTGATCCGGTCGACATATCTGCTCTTTTGCAGATATCCGCTTCGTTGAAGGCCGCTTTGGTAGTCTTTTCCGTGCCACTTAGCACTCTGTACGCTGATGGAAGCAGCTCGAAGACCCATGGTTGCCCTGACATAGGCTATTCATCTCTGCAGACAATTCCAGGCGGTGACGGCGCGATTTTACAATTTGCAGTATAGCACAGGCAAGTTCAGCAAAGCATATTCGTTTGACGAAAAAGAGAATGTTTCCGACAGCATCCATTTGCAGTATGTGCGGTGTATTGCAGATCGCGCCGGCGAACATCCTGCGCACACTTTGGCATAATTGAGCACGGCCGTTTCGAAGCGAAGTGGCAAGGGCAGTCAGCTGTTGACAATACCCGCCGGAGCCTCCCTCTTATATTGATTGCAGTTAGATGTTCCCACCAGTGCCCACTTCGACTCCAGTTGCACCTCGAAGGAGAACCGCCGACATGAGCGAGTGTCGCACGATGTAACGGAGCGACACTATCCGCGAGTTAGGCCACTTGGAGATAGGATTGGTGCTGCATGTTTACTGACTTGTTGGTAGTGACAAAAGGTCCATCTAAGAGCAGTGTCGAATCTCGGTGTGAAGAAGTGCCCCGCGATCTACGGCATGCCCCAAGCGAACGATCCACATAGCTCTCGTATGGTAGTATCAACTCTTGACATCGCGCTCGCCCTCCTGACACAGATAACATCACCTCGACTCATAAGCACGCGTCTGTTGTCGAGATCGTCCGATGGAACGTTGCAGAAGAATCATCCGTCTAGGTCGGCGAGAATCACGGCAAAGCCCTCTCCTGGAATTTCCTGTGGAGCGACGGAGTCAAGCTGCTGCGCTCTCTGGATATGGCGATTGTAGTTGTCATGACGAGGATGATCAAGACATCCGATGGGCCAAGATCTCATTAGATAATTCCGGACTGGAAGGGGAGCGACTGGAAGCAAGACGCCATTGCTGCACAACTGAGATCTCGCTAGTGTGTGTACGCTTTGCGGAGTTAGGAGAGCTCAGACGTTCAAGCCGATGTCAATGGCGCATCTGATGGCGGACTGAGAGGTATGGTCGTAGCAGGAGATGAGATTGTCACATGCGACGGATGAGCTCAGTAAGCTGGTGTTGCGTAATGAGATGGGTGAATGAATCCGGCGGGGACTAGTGCTCGGCCCATCCCGATGATTACATAAGTCAAGTGAAAGCTGTCCAGAGCTGCGGTATCTATCGGGGAGAGCTGCAGGGTCCATGTTGACAGCATCAAGTTTCAGGCACAACCCTAATTATTTCCAATAATATATCATCCATTGAAGCGTAAGCTGTCGCACGTACGAGCCACGTCTTCAATGGAGCAGCGACACACCTACCGGCGCCGTTCTTGTACATAATACCTGGGCAAAGCTGCGATATTCAGCGAAAGCGACAGCAGCAATGGACTCCGCGCATACGATCCCTGATGGGCTATGGCAACGCCTGGACTATGTCGCAGAGAGACCACTACTCTTCTGGATGGCATTGGCCGTAGTTGGTCTCGTTGTTGCTGTATTTGTGGTATTTCCATCTTAGATCTCCAAATGCATGTGAGATCACGCAAGGAGACTGCAGCTGACATTCCATTTCGTTAGCTATATGCGCTCCTCTACCTCCTCGCTCCAACCCCGCGACAGCCCAGAACATCCGAGAAGCAGTACATAACGGTGACTGCTGAGGGACAGGTTTCAGATCGTCAACCTTTGCCATGTTGGTACGACAATCATATCGCTCTCCAAAAGATGGCGAAGCAGAAGCTCATCTCGGGGGAAGAAAGCCACCAGATCACGGATGCGGAGGTGTTCATGACACTCGTGATCCCAGCATACAATGAACAGGACCGATTGAATGGGATGTTGGAAGAGGCAGTGGAATACCTAGAGGAACAATACGGACACCATGGAACTGCGAGCAAAAGCAGTAGCGATGGAAAGTTACAGGCTAGTGGGAAAGAGGGTGACCCTCATAGGGGATGGGAGATAATTCTTGTGAGCGATGGCTCCACGGACAAGACGGTTAAAGTGGCTCTGAACTTTGCGCGCACGCATCAGCTTAACAAGCCGGCGCCCACGTGCAAAGGTCCCTGGGGCGAGTCCCAAAAGCCAACCAACATATTGCCAGGCACAATCAGGGTGGTGCAACTGGAGGAGAATAGAGGAAAGGGTGGTGCGGTGACGCACGGTATGAGACACGCAAGAGGGAATTACGTTGTTTTTGCCGATGCAGACGGAGCAAGCAAATTCAGTGACCTGGGCAAATTGGTCGTGGCATGCGAGAGAGCGAAAGACCGACTTGGAAGAGCAGTGAGTGTGGGCTCACGAGCCCACATGGTCGGAACGGAGGCGGTGGTCCAGGTAAGCTACTTTCTGGAATCTTGATAACGTCAGCTGATCAAGAGTACAGCGATCCGCCCTCCGCAACCTGCTGATGCGAGCCTTCCACCTTGGCATATGGCTCCTGACAACTCCACGCACATCCAGAATTAAGGACACCCAGTGCGGCTTTAAGCTCTTTTCCCGGCAATCACTGCCTTACATTGTCCCTTACATGCATTCGGAAGGATGGATATTTGATGTCGAAATGCTGATGCTGGCTGAGAGTGCCGATATACCGATGGTAGAAGTGCCGATAGGGTGGAAGGAAGTTGTGGGCAGCAAGTTGAATGTCGTCAAAGATAGCATAGGGATGGCGGTGGGACTGGCAGTCCTGAGAGTGGCTTGGGGAGCTGGGATCTATCGTCGGTAGAGATGTCACAAAAGTACAATTTGAGCTCTCGGCCGTCGAATTTGAGTCGATCGATGCATTTATGTCTGTTCAGCTGCATCAGCGTCCTTGAAATGCACCTCAGCAAGAACGACGCGGATACTCATCGATTCCTACTTCCTCCAGGGCCATCTTCTAGTGCGGACGTGGAACGAAAGGATCTCACTCCATTTCCCATGGCGCAGTCAATACGTCTATTACGTCGCATGCACTTATGCGTGGCCTTAAAGCCACGGCAGCTATATCGAGGCCTTTCGCTAGCCTGATCCACATTTATCAAGGCCTGTCAAGCTGGAGGACCCCTCTTAGGACCCCTGTGCGTACTGGGAAGAAGTCAACGCCTCGAAGGAGGACAAAGACTTTGAAGGGAGGCGAATCACGCACGAACAGCTTGGTGACAGCAATGGCGACGCGATTAGCTCCATGCTGAGGCTCAAGTGCCCTTTCAATAGTACCAGTGCTCATCAAGGGCAGGACGAAGCCGTCAACAAGGTTGGAATGCTCTGGGGGTCAGTCCGCAAGTGGAGATCAGGTGTGCATCTTTGACACCCCATCCATCTTCGAAGATCTTGCTTGCCGCTGAAACAGCTTTTGAACATAGCTCACTGGGGATTGAATGGCTTCCGGGAGAACTTTCCCAAGGATCAGAGCACTGGCCCGCGGCGAAGAATGGAGGAGAGGAAAAGGATATAGAAAAAGCCCAAACTACTACCACAAAAGCAACAAGTGATACTTCAAGTTGTCTCATCAGTCCGCGGCAAATGCAACTTCGCAATGTGAAAGCTGAGGTGCTATCACATGTATAAGCGGGACTTCCCGCTCGCGCTGAAGGTCCGTGCGTGCGGAGATCCAAATACCGCACTTCGAGTGGCGGCCATCGCCAATGACATGGCGCCGTCTACATTCACGCCGAACAAGTCTCGCGATCGGTGAGTAAAGCGTCCATTCGCCCTTCTCATGATGCTAATTGTAGGTAAAGAGACCTATACGACAAGATGGTCGAAGTCAACATCGAAGAAGGAGGAGAGCGAACGTAAGTTCACAGAGGTATCATTTACCTCTATTCCGGCTAGTTCGAGAAGGCCTTCAACGGAGATTTCGCGGAGGGCGAGGCTGCCGTAGTCACGCTGCCAGGAGAGGAGATTGCCATCTTCGAGCGCTTTGTTGCCTATATCTACAACTGAAATCTTGAGAGCGACAAGGAGAGCCCGTACATGATACTCTGTAAGGTGTGACTTCTTGCGGAGAGGCGGGAGATCCTGTGGCTCTTGGAGTCATGTCTCGATGCTATGAGGGACGACATGGTCCGGAGGTGACAAGCCCCGGCCCCTCGGGTTCCGTACATCCACACCAACGCGAGTGCGAATGTTGGCCTACGACGCTTGGTCATGGATTCCGTCGGCGAGTGCAATGGTGGTGGGGACCACCTGACACTGGGCAATTGGCCTATCGAAGCAGGGCGCGACGTGGCTCTTTTGGTCTAGAAACTGGAAGCGTCTAAGAAGCTCACCAGAGACGATGTCGCGAAATGGAACATGTGTATGTACCACCAGCATGAGCATGTCATCAAGTGCCCCAAAAGATCTGACTTAGGACTCTGCAGGGTCAGAGGCCCCTTTTCTGTAGAACTACACGCATGCTAATGTGTCACCATGTTAGCTTTCGCATCGTTGCGCTTTGTGCGTTCTTACATCGGGAGCGTATGGGCAAAGCTGTTGATGGCTATCAGCGGAATAAGAAGAAGCAGGTCGAACATGACTCGCGGTAGATCAGGTTGAGGACGGAGAGAGGACAATACTCTTGACTTGGACTAAAACGCTGTGTGCTACAAGCAAGAGGAGCCCAATGAGTAGTGAGCCGTGGCGAAGCGGAGAGAGACAGAGGAGGTCTCACAAGTCAACTTCGACGTTCTTCCAATATCCTTCAAATTGTCACTGAAAGCCCGTATCCTTTAGCCATCACCTGGTGGTATCTCCGTCATCTAAGACTTCCACTGCCCAGCGTTCTCCGCGCCCTTGCCAACCTGACCGCCAGCATCTTCAACACCATCGGTGACAGACTTCAAGCCATCGCCAGCTTGCTTGGTACCGGTCGTGCCTGCACAAGCATCAGATGAGCGTCAGAAGCGAATCGTGAGATCACGAGGGCGGTTCCTACTGTTGATAGTGTCGCCGACTCCACGTCCAGCGGCGCCGACGATACCGCCGAGTGTCCTAGAGACGCCGCCTGCAGCGTTACCGACCTGTGAAGAATATTAGCTAGAGGCTTCTTGGGCAGTGTGGAGTTCAGATGTACCGTGGAAGTTACGCCCTTCGCAGCGCCCTCAGCACCAGAATTCTTGTTCTCTCCGATAGGCATGATGCTTGTTCCCTCGCTGGTCGTTATTTGCACAGGTAGGTCAACTTTGGTTCAGGAGTATGTTCAGTTTGTCAAGATCATAGACTGTCAACATGAACTCTGATATATGTCCTTTCCCCAGCTGGACACATCAGTCAAGTGACGTCACAACATGACAACATGACGTTCAAATGAATAAGCTTTGACAGTCGTGGCTGACGATGTTGAACGCGTGTGTTAGGAAAGCTTTCCTCTCGACAGGACTTGCGTGGTTGGATGCCACATGTCAGAAATCTTGCTATGGCCGCTGTAGCGCCGAAGTCTATTCACTTGCAAACGCAGAATCCTATTTAGGAAGGAGCGGGCCGCCCCACAATCTGGTGCCTAAGGCCTGTGGATTTTAGTGTTCTGGTTGAGACATTGCGGTAGACCTCTGTTGGAACGTCGTGTGTATCAACAAGGAGCAGACGATGATTTCTAAGGCCTTATGGGTTTGCCGAGGTGCTCGCACGAATAGCTTATCGAGTGATCTGTACAGAGCAAGATGGATTCCAGGCCAAAGCGAATGTAGCCACAGGCAGCTCCACCGCATCGTGAGTCCGCTCTGCCCGGTATAGTATATGTCCTCGTCTAGGCCTCGGATCCATTTCGTCGCATTGTCGGCCAGAAGAAGTGCCCTCCGTTTCTGAGGAGCACTGTTTAGCCAGCACAAGAGTCGCAACGTAAGACTGCAACTCCTCGAGTCAAACGGATGATACTGCCATTTTGTTTCGGAAAACCATACCACGTGGGTGCCAGTTGGACTTGGTTTACTCTCCGCGAAAAATCGCCACAGGATACTCATTGCCTTGAGAGTCGCCAGACGTTTTGAGGGAACGGTAGCATACTATCGGCATCAAGATCCATTTTTCCAAGTGAACCCAATGATGACTGTAAATATTCAGGAGGTCAGAAGATGTTGGGCGATGTTTGCACGCCGCACACGTCCTTCATGCACGACGTTGGTATTCGTTGGGCTTGGCGCCGTTTGAGGAAATGACGGACTGCAACTTCCTCGGCGCTCGTCTTTGTTTGGGAGCTGCGAGGAATGCGACGAGGTCGGACGCCTGATAACTCAACAGCAAAAGGCGCGAAGTATCGGAGAGAAGGCAGCTTGCATAAAGTAAAGAGTTTTGTGTGTGTCGTCGCGAGATCCATGCCAGGCAGCTGCGATAGGACGAGCGCTCCGTCCCGCCTGCAATTTGAGTTTCGGGCTGAGGCAGAGTCAGCCGTCCAGGACAAGCTGGGAGGAATTGATAAAGGCGCGCGCTGCCTCGCTGCTGCTGACGAGTCTTCTTCGCCCACTTCCAAAATTCCAAAGCTGCTCTCTCGGCTAATTACCTTACATACACAAGCTGCCCCACCTTCCACCACCCACCAAAAACAACCGAGGACCCGACCACACCGTGCACCTGCACCTACCTGCACCTGCACCCGCACCTCCCGACAGCTCTCACGCATCCGCCCGCTCGGGTACCCGCTGCATCGTATCTCGTATTTGCGTCTGACAACACGCCCACCACCAGAGCTCCGACTTTTTCTTGCATTCCACCAAACTTACGCGCCTGAGGCGTCTGTTGTTTGCCCGGCGCTGGCCGCCCAGTCTGTCCGACTGACGTAATTGACGATATTCACACGCGCATCCTGTTGGCTTCTCACAATAATAATTATGGACGGCTTTCGACCTCAGTCGCCAGATCTCTCCTCCTACCAGCCCCAGTCTCCAGATCTATCCGGACTTCGCCCGGAGAGCCCTGACCTCTCTGGCATTGGCTCACCGCGCTTCGGAAACTTCAGTCAACACCGCTCCCACTTTCCAGCCGGCGCGTTCGGCGGTCACCACCACTACACAGGCTACCAGCCCACCTCGGTGCCCCAGCAATACAACTACCAACCATATCAACAATCCGCCGCCATGCCTCCTCGCGCCAAGCCCGAAGCCGACGACGACGAATACATGCCCGATGTCACATCCTCTAAGAGACCTCGCCGAGTAAAGCAGGAGCCATCGAATGCCATGAACGGCCTTGCTCCTGCCTTCGCCGACGTGCCACCTGTCAAAGCCGAGGACAGCGACCCGACCCTTGGCTGCAAGCTCAACACCGCATTTCCTGTCGCGCGCATCAAGAGAATCATGCAGGCTGATGAGGATATCGGCAAGGTTGCCCAGGTGACTCCCACCGTTGTGAGCCGCGCATTGGAGCTGTTCATGATCAAGCTCATCTCTGCTGCGGCGACTCAGGCCAAGGGCTCTGGACCAGCGGCCTCCAAAGGGCCGAGACGCGTACTGGCCCAGCATCTCAAGAAGGCGATCGTTACGGACGAGAAGTTTGACTTCCTGAATGAGATTGTGGACAAGGTGCCAGATGCACCGTCGAAGGGAAAGAAGGAGACAAACAGTGATTCGGACGAGCCAAAGCCGAAGAAGAGAGGCAAGAAGCGGAAGGATTCCGGGGATGAGTTTTGAAGAGAGTGACGAGATAACGGGACATGAACATTAAGCATATCATACATACCTGCGAGTATGCCAGCGGCGATCGGTACAGCTTCGCGCGTCTTTCTCGCCGAGCGACCTACGCTACACGTCGACCATACAGATGGCCTTCCACGGCTCACGGGACCAAATTGGCTCGGCGATGCTTGCGCACAGTTTGTACGAATTGAAAGAAGCCGGGCCTGGATATACCCACGAGTGTTGACAAGCCTAGAAGGAGCCAGCCTATGCGAGCTTCGATATCCGACCTGGAAAGACAAAACCAGGAGAGGCTTGAAGACACAGATTCAAAGGGCACAGTGAGGGAAACAATTTTAGATGGAGCGGAGCTGCTGCCTTCTCATCCATGAAGGTTTCCCCGCACATCGCCTTGGCGGAAGGTATAGACACTTCACGTAGCTACGGACATTGCAGACCTCTTCAAACACATCACCATCCCCAAATCTCATGTCAACTCTTCGGCACTGACAAACAGACATCTCAGTGGACACTATACGCTATGGGCGCTCAAAAGAAATCCTTGGCCGACCTAAAGAACAAGAAACTCTTTCAGAACAAGGGCTACATCAACGGAGAATGGGTTGCCTCCTCGAGCGGTCCGACCTTCGACGTCCTCGACCCAGCGACGCTCGATAAGCTTGCCACACTGCCTGAGATGGACAAGACGGACGTCGCGAAGGCGGTGAACGCAGCGCACGAGGCGTTCAAATCGTACAAAAAGACTTCTGCTCGCGAAAGGGCCCGAATGTTGAGGAAGTGGAGCGATCTATGCCATGAAGTAAGTTGGTTTCCCCTGGTCGCGAAACAAGAATACAGCTCAACAAACACGACAACAGAACGTCGACGATCTTGCCCTGATCATGACACTCGAAAATGGCAAGACTCTCGCCGAATCGAAGGGCGAAGTCATCTACGGCGCCTCTTTCCTCGAATGGTTCGCTACTCAGGCCGAAATGGTACATGGGGAAGTTGTACCTCCCGCGAATCTCAAGCAGCGGATCATCACTTTCAAGCAGCCGATTGGAGTTGCTGCTTGTCTAGCTCCGTGGAATTTTCCCATCGCGATGATTACGAGGAAGTGCGGTGCTGCGCTTGCGGCGGGGTGCACGACTGTGTGGAAACCAGCGGGAGAAACGCCGCTTTCTGCGCTTGCGCTGGCTGTGTTGGCGGAACAGGCTGGGTTTCCGAAGGGCAGTATCAATGTGATTACTTCCCTGGCTGGTGTTGCTGAGGTCGGGGAGGAACTGTGTACGAATTCGAAGGTGCAGAAAGTGAGCTTCACGGGGAGCACAAGAGGTAAGAGGTCCCAAGTGCACGTTGTTCGATCTGATTGAAGTGACCGCTGACGCTATTGCCTTTCTTTCGGGACAGTCGGGAAGCTATTGATGAAGCAATGCTCTTCCGCCCTCAAGAAGCTGTCCCTCGAACTCGGCGGCAACTCGCCGTTCATTGTCTTCGACGACGCGAAGATGGAAACGGCATTAGAAGCAGCCATCCTGGCCAAATTCCGGAACTCGGGCCAGACGTGCGTGACAGCGAACCGTATCTTCGTGCAGGAGGGCATCTACGAGGACTTCGCAGAACAACTGACGGAAAGAATCAAGAAGCTGAAAGTCGGCGCCGGAACGGAAGAAGGCGTCTTCGTCGGTCCTCTCACGCACGAGCGAGCGGTCGAAAAAGCCATGCGGCATATCGACGACGCCAAAGCTCACGGCGGCAGAGTACTCTATGGCGGCGCTGCACTTACGGACGTTGGGAATGGGAAGGGCTATTTCCTACAACCCACCGTGATCACAAACATGAGCACAGAAATGCTGACGACGAGGGAGGAGACGTTTGCACCTGTCGTGGGGTTGTACCGCTTCGAGACGGAAGAAGAAGTGATTGCGTTGGCGAACGATTGTGACGTCGGACTGGGGAGTTTTGTGATGACGGAGAATCTGGCGAGGAGTTGGAGGGTTGCGGAGGAATTGGAAGTGGTGAGTTAACACCCTCCTCGGCGCTGACGGGCAGTGTGTCCCAAGCCATGAATATGGAGATAAAGTCGCTGACGCCAATGTTATTGTGCTGGGTTTAGGGCATGGTAGGAGTCAATGTGGGAATGCTGAGTGCGTGCGAGAGCCCGTTTGGAGGCGTTAAGGGGAGTGGCTTTGGACGAGAGGGAGGGACGCAGGGGATTGAGGAGTACCTCGTGGTCAAGTCGATGCTCATCAATGTGGCAAATTGAAGATGGTATCGTGAGTGCAAAGTTCGATGCTGAGGAATTGGTCTTGCAAGGCTATGCTGTGCTAGGACGTACCGGTTTTTGTCTTTGCTGATGTCTTTCAAGGTGTACGCAATCTGCCATGCCTTCGCTGGTTTCCGTTGGCAGTTCGCATGGAGTTCACGTGCCGCTGGTCTGCTTACACGGCATTTGCCATGCCTTGCCAGCCAGCTCCTTTCCCGCCTCTTCTGCGAGCCTCAATCTTAGAACCCACTCAACCCGAACGAAAAGAGCCTCCCAGATCCATCTCTTCAGGGCTCCGACTCCGACTCCGACTCCTCTTCCTCACTCTCAGCTGCTCCTCCACACGCCCAATCGGCCCACCATGCCACAACCTCGCCTCCTCGCTCCCCTCACAATACTCCCCCTTCTCATGCACATGCCACTCACAAGCCTGCAGTCTCCTCGTCGTCTTCGCACTCACCCGCACCGAAAGCCCCGCCCTCACAAACTCCTCCGCAACCCAACACAGCCGCTCCGGATCCTCACTCTTGCCCCCCACCAATTCGTTCCAGACACTGTGCTGATAGCTTCCGCGATCCGAAAGCCACATCTCCCTCACAAGAACCACAAATTCCTGCCTCAAGAGCGCCCCGGGCGAAGTCTGCTCCCAGAGGTATTCGATCGCCCAGCGATCCGGTAGGACCTTCTCCTGCTTGATCTTTGTCGCGAAGAGATCGGCGGCTGTATTCTGAATGAGGGGCATGTTGCGCCGGACTCCGAAGGCGTAGAGATCGATGAGTCGGTCGAAGCTCTGGGTCGGGGCGCTGTGGGGGAAGAAAGTGCGCAGGGTCAGGTATTGGTATGCCATGGCGAAGATTTCGGGGCTCTCGCCGGGCAGGCGCAGGATTCCCGTGAAGCTGGGTTCCGAGGTTACCATTTTGAAGTAGCCGGAATAGTAGCGCATGGCGCTGGCTTCGACTTTGAAGAGCGTTTCGTGGGCGCCCTGGCCGACGTGGACGAGGATGGCGTGGCCATATGGGTCCCTGGTGTGGTGTGAGAGCGGTCAGTTATATCTGCGCATGCGCGAGCTTCTTTTTGAAGGAGTTCCTACCAAGGATGTTCGACCATCGGCGTGGAGGCTGGCGGGTCTGCTGTCATGTTGGCGCACCGACGCGACGGTCACGGCGATGAAGTTGGTGCTGTGCGAAGAGGTCGTTGGTCACAGTCAAGTGTGCGGAGGGTGAGGGAGAAAGCGAGATTATGAAGTTCCATGTCGTGAGTGAGCTCTCGTTTGCACGTGCGAGTGTCAAAGTGAGGCGAGAATGGAAAGGTGGATTTGCATGTGACGGCGAGCGGTCTGGCGCTCGGACCACAAATCTCCATTCTCGCTGCGGGCGACACAAGAGGTCAAGAGGCAAAACGAAGCCGGTCTTCGAGTATCACAAATTTTTTCAAGGTATTGCTGCGTTCTGGAGTCGTTATGTGAGAGCCGCATCATATCTAGTTGAGGCGCAGTAGTGGCATACACCCACAGCAAACTCTTGTTAGACTACTACCAACTTGCAGCTCTGGGGTCAAAACATCCTGTCACGACTTTCCAACCACAATCAGGATGTTGCACTGAATGTTTGAGGTCCTTCTCTCTCCTTTCCGGCTCTGCAAGCGAATTGCTTTAAAATCCAGCCGACATGAACATAATTGGCTACGCAGAAAGATGAGCTGTTGCCTTTTTGAACCAGCGTCAAGATGAGCGAGTAAATGTTAGAGAAGTTGAAGCGCTCCCAAGATTCTAATGTCGTAAGCGTAGACGTGGGGTCCAGTCGCACGACGCAGCTTTCACCTCGTCGGCATCGCGTGAGGACACAGGGCTCGAAGGAGTATGGCCAGAAATACGCAATGCTGCCAACATGAGCTCTATACTGACGTGGTTGTGCTGGTTGCGTCTGTGTGGGGGACTGCACTGTCAGGTACGTCAACGTGCACACACGACGAAACAGACATTGTTGGAGACAGCAGTTGGAGGCCACCATAGGTCATCCACTGCTTTCTTTCCCGATCACGCGGGAGAGAGCAGGCCACTCCTATCAATGCAGCTTTCCATGGTCCTGCAGAGCTCTCTTGCCGCGATGTATATCACAGCACCACCGCAAAGCAGCTCCACGGCCGCTTAGGCGTCTCCGGGGAGCCATAGAGCAAGCTTGATCTCCAGCGAATGCCAACAGCTTACGAAGGCAGCGAATGCCAACAGCTCACGAAGTCATCGGCTTCTGAAGCCTAAGGCATCAGGAGCAAGAACCGGAAGTCGTCCAGCGGGTTTTGGTAGCAAGCAACTCGAAGGTCCAGAGTGTAGGGCGTGGTGCAGGAGGGACAAGAAGGGGCCGTCGTCAGCGCCAACGCCGCAGCATGATGGGAGGGAAAATGGGTGAACCCGGTTTGGGCAGGAATTGAACAAGCTACGTGGGATGCTTCCATGCAGCCACGGTTATCATCGACCCAGAGTTTCCGCGGACCGCTTGATCTCCTGCGCATACAGATGGATTGGGATGACGCCCAGAGGTGAGGGCAGGTCAGGGAGAAGCCAAGAGGTTTGAGGAAGCATTGGCGCAGAGTGTGAGACCGGGAGTGAATAATCACGTTACACTCGGGTATGGTGGGTGTTTCACAAGGCGACTGTCGTGGTGGTGAAGGGGCCGGGCAGCTCATGCAGACGAGACGGCGACGGAGCACGGGAGAGCACGTCTTGGCCCGAAGGGCCGAAGGGGGCACCAACGGCTCAATCACGTGTTCTGCGACGGGATGCGCCGCCAAGCACACGCTAAACCTTATTCTGCGCCCTTTCTCAGTTCTGGTTTTTGACATGGTCAAGTTCCGCCAGGATGATTATCGCTCGGCAAACAACTGTGCAGCATCGCCAACGAGTGGAACGGTGGAACGGTGGATCTATCCAGTACGTATCGGGGTCGCTTTCGGGCAGCGTCCAGCGTGGCGGTGCCCAGTGCTAGCGAATGAGCCGTGCGAATAATCAACAAAAGCACAAGCACCCACACCCACACCCGCACCGGACTTGCCTACCTCAGCCTGCCGGCAAACGTCACTGCTGCAGCGGCGGCCACTGGAGTTCAGTTCACGCGCGCAAGACGACAGATGCACTGCACTGCGCTGCGCTGCGCTGCGCTGCGCTGTGCTGCTATTACCGACGCGAACGACTCCTACACTACTACTACTACTACTACTACTACTCACTGACTACTGTAGACACTTTTCCAGTTGCATTCTGTCTTCCATCACACCCATCGCATCCCCGCCTGCTGAGACGGAGTCCTGTCCGCCCACCGCACCGCACCGCACCGCACCGCACCGCACCGTACCGCGCGACTCGGAGATCCGCTGCCCTTCTCCTCCGACCATCCTAGGATACCTTACCCCAGACCAGACGCTGCACACTTGGCGGACTCCCGCGAGACGCTTGCCAAGTGCCTTGTTACTTGGCTCCCAGTCTTGGAGCGCCAATTCGCAGTCTCTGGCGCGTGTCGCTTGTCGTTTGCGCCGCCCTGTGCAGAAAGGCTGCTGCCATATAAGGCCTGCTGCTCGCCCGGCCTCCCGCCCGAGGGACTGACCAAAGACCGTGAGTGCCGTCTGCTGCTATTCCATCCTCGTTCTTTGCTACTACTGCTGCCACCGCTGCCATTGCCGCCCGCCTGGCATGCCTCGGGAGCAAATCTTCATACTCAACATGGCGGCTGCTAACAAGAAGTTCGGCTTCAGGCAGTGGAACGCGCAGGGCGCTTTGGAGACGGAGTATTGGATTTCCACGGATGACACCAGTGGCGCCGAGGAGATCCACGTGACGGCAGGTTCTCCCCAGCGACTCTACCACCACCGCAACGACTCGACCGTCAACACAGCAATCTCCAGCACCACCGATCTAATCTTAGCTATCGCTGGCGCCGCGCCGCAGGCCTCGAGGAAAACCCCGCCTGGTTGGAAGGGTCTACTTGTGCCGCAGCAGACTCGGCGCAACCTGAAGCGGGCAGCTCGGCACCAACGCCCAAGAACCTCCCCCTCCAGCGACACAAACTCCTCGCGCAACAATTCTCCCACCCGCACCATGTCTGTCGACGCCGAATTAACATCGCCGAAGCGGGTGTCGACTGCGTTTCCTTCGCCTACCTCTTCAAACAATGAATCTAAAAGCAACAGCGCGACGTTTTTCAAGCGCCTCACCCACCACAGGCGCAATCAAAGCAGCGTGCACGGCATCAAACCAGAACCCGTGGCGAGAAAGCCGCAATCGCCACCACGGTCGCCTCCACCAGCGCCCACGCCTGTGCAACAGAAGGAACCCCCAGTCGTCCCTAAGAGTGCTATGCGATCTCCTTCTCTAGCAAACGGCCAGTCGCGCCAGCAGAGCACCGAGCAGGTGCCGCAATTCTCCATCGCAACCGCAAATGGATCTGGAGATGTCATGTATCCAAATGGCCTGCCCGTTCCTAGAGAAGGCGGCAGTAAAGTCAAATGGGCTTCAAACGCACTATCAGATGCTCCCACCAGGCCGCGACGGACGAGCTCAGCAGCTACACATGGCCGGAGATCCTCCATCTACTCGAAAGCCGCTGAAGGCGACTACTACTTCCAAGGCGTCGATGCTGGCGTCGGCTCAAAAGCGCGCCGTCTGTCGGTGCATCTGCCGGAGGAAATGATGGTAGATGCATGCCGTCTTGAGGACCACTTCAGTTTCCACCACCGACTCAACACTAAGGAAATTGGCGAGGGTGGAGCGGCTGTCGTCAAGCTTATGAAGAGCAAAACTGCCTCCGGAGAGTCCAAGGGCACAGTCGTCTATGCGGTCAAGGAGTTCAGAGAACGGGTACCCGAGGAGGAAGACGAGTATGAGTACGAACGCAAGATCAAGTCCGAATACGCCATCTCCAAAGCTCTGAAGAACGCGAACATTGTGCAAACCTTCCAGCTTTGCATCGACAAAAACAATCACTGGTATCACGTCATGGAATACTGCCAACTTGGCGATCTCAACGATCTCATAGTACAGGGCTACTTTTCGAAAGAAGACCGGAATTGCATGTTCAAGCAATTGGTGAGAGGAATCAACCATCTGCACGAACGCGGGATCGCGCATCGAGATATCAAGTCAGAAAATTTGCTTGTGGATGCGAAGGGATGCTTGAAGATCGCGGATTTCGGCACGGCGGAAGTATTTGCAGGACCGCACCCCGGAGCTCGAAATTGTGCAAAGCAGGACTTGATCGACCCTGACGAGGAAGTACGCCTTTGTCAGCCTGGATGGGTCGGTAGTCGGCCCTACATGGCTCCGGAGGTCTTTCAACGCACAGGGATCTACGACCCTCGCGCTGTGGACGTGTGGTCTGCGGCAATTGTCTACCTCACATTGATATTCCAGGGAAACCCCTGGGATTCTGCCCATCCGGATTGCAACAATTACAACGTCTACATGGACTCTTGGGATCGATGGGAAGCAGCCCAGCCCAACGCAAAGGTCAGCCCTGGATGCGTGCCTGACTTTGCCATCAGGAGCAAGTGGAAGGGCCTCGACGACAAGGCAATGATCTGCGGAATGCTCGATCCACTTGCTTCACGCCGGTGGACCATCAAGCAAGTGCTCGAGAGCAAGACGCTCGAACTCTACGAATGCTGCCAGCAAGAAGGATACAACGAAGACATTCGGAAGCGGCAAAAGAAGGCGCTGCACAACCACATTCCGCCGGATCGACGGAAGGAGTTCAAGAATGTCAAGTGAGCAAGCAATTCGTCTGCCTTTGCACACTCTTGCCCGGCATACTTAAAAATTCCCGTTTCCCTTTTTGCATGACATTTGGCACAAGCATCTCTGGGTATGCCGGAGAGCCTTTGAAACAGCTTTCGCGTACAGCAAGCGAGCAAGCATCCACTGGGACAGGCTCTATTTTCTTTTTTTTTCCCTGCGACTAGATGGCACTTTTGGTGTTGTACATACTAGGACTTTGGCGTCAGGAGAAAGCGGAAGGAAGACGAGCGAGGAGGGCGCAGCTCATTCTGCCACTGCACTGCACAGTCCCCTCGCAAAACGATATGATACCCTACCACAGGACAGAGGATGATTGGCTAAATTTCCTCTTCTTGCAAATTTTCTAGTGCGTTTCCCAGTCGTCGTCGTCTTTCGCGCAGCGCGAGTCTCCATCACCTGCCGACCATGCACATGCCGCACATGCACGTCCCGCATCTGCATGTTCCACACGTTCCACACGTTCCGCATGTTCCGGTGTCGGGTCTCATACGGCGACAGTCGAAGAAACTTCGAAAGCGACTCTGGTGGCCAGTCGTTGCAGCGAGCGCGAGCAACAACAATAACAACAACAACAAAACGACGACTTGTCCACCTACTGACAACAACCGCCCTACCATTCTCTCCCCTAAGAACAAACAGGGTCGCTCTCACCGTATGACGACACCACCACCTCCTACCACAACTCCCAAACGGCGTCCGGCAACACCCTGCGCATGATATGCCAGTGTCGAATCGCGCCTTCGAGGAGTTCCCCGGCAAAGCGCCTTTCGTCGCCAAGGACCAGGATCTCCGCGTCGTCTGCGTTGTCAGTCACACGATGATGTGCCGTGGTCATGGGGAAGGGAATTTCTAGCTCGGGTCGGGGACGCATGTAATGTTGGCGGGATCTGCTGCCGAGGAAATCCCTCTGGGTGGGTGCGCGGAAGGCGATGGGGCCTGGCGTGTTGCGGCAGAAGACGACCATGTTGAGGAAGTCGGCGTTGGAGTCTGTCGTGCTGTCTTTTGCTTCTGGTGGGGAGTCGCGGTAGATTTTGCATTGGCCGCCAGCGCTGCCAGGTGGCGTCTGTTTGTCACGGAAGACGTGGGCGATGGTGTGGAGGACGCGGCGGGTGAGGGGGAGGGACAGGTCGCCTGCGTAGTTGATGGCTATTACTCCGTTGGGCTTTAACAACGTTCTCAGATTCTCTAGAAAAGCTGTATTGAAGAGTTGCAAAGGCTCGGCGCCTCCTGTGAAGACGTCGTGGATGATGTAGTCGTACTGTCCCGGATCTGGGCGTGAAGCCGTGGTACTGATCCACGAGACGGCATCCTGTAGCACTGCGGTGTGGTTACGCGGCAAGGCGAAGTATTTCACGGCGAATGCATGTACGACAGGATCCAGCTCGACCACCGTCGTGTTAACACCGTGCGCGACAAGGGATTTAGGAGCAGTTCCTATGCCAAGCCCGACGACCAGTGCGTGTGCCTCTGTGTCCCTGATCGGTGGGTCGAGTTTCATCAGACGGACGGCCTCGAGCATTTGGAAGACGGAGTAGATGGGTTCGCTCACTTGCCAACCCTCCCTGATCTTTCGGTCTTCCGTGAGCAACCACTCGCCGCCTAGGAGGGAGTGGTCGCAGCGCATGACGCGGTACCCGGCTTCTTGGCTCTCGAGCACGGAAATGTAACCCGTGTTTGACCATTGTCGGTCCACGAGGCTCCACCGGTGGGCTTGCAGAGCAGCGTTCACGCCGATCGAATCGATGTGCGGGTTGAGGAATGCCGCGTGGAGGATCGCTGGCATCGCACCAAAAAGCAGCCAAGACGGGAAGAGGGCGGAGTAACAGCTCGCGAGTAGCATTTGCAAATGCAGCGGTGTCAACCAGCGTACGTGGGATAGAAGCAAGGTGATGTAGCTTGCCATGGATTTCTCCATTATCAGGAACGCGGGCAACGCTACCGCTGTGAGCCTGAGGGGCTCTGTCTTTTTGGTCAGATCCACCGTTTCTTGTGAGAGGTTCGACGAGACGTACCAGGCAGACGATTCAGCATTCGAAGGTCTACATTCTCCATTGGAGGGCCCAAAGCATACGCAGATGGGATCAGAATCGTATGGCAACTGAGGAAGCCATTCGTTACGGGCCCGAGTACAGGGCCTAGAGCTTTACTGTATGGCAGAAGCAGGTACTGGATCAAAGGCATCCAAGCTGCCCATACTGGCAGCGCTCTGGAGATCCAACGGGACGTGTGGCCTCGCCATCGGTGTAGAAGAGTGCCGAGGGAGAATGTCGCCCCGATCATCAACCAGTGCAACTCTGACGACGGAATCGAGCCATAGACCGGAGCCAGTGTCAGCTGCGATATTGGCGGAGCTGCAGCAGTAAGGAGCAGAATGGCGCATGGTAAGGCCAGCTGAGTCAACGGATTCTGCTGAGACATCTCGCCTGCCTTCCGTATTGCTTCCTCTCTGCCGTGGCTTCTGATCTTGTGAGATGGATCTCGGCGGCTAACGCGTCCAGCGCGTCTCGTCGTAATTGTCGACAATGCTTTTTCCCCCTAGACGGCCGGAGAACGAATGAAGTGCCAACGTGCCCATCGATAGAACAGCGAAAGTCTTGAGTGGTCGGTAGCGTTCTGCTTATCCGGAGGGAAAGTAAAGATGACCGTCCACTAGGACTGATCTATGCGAGACACATGCTACCGAGCCTCAACTGCATCAGATGAGACGCATGGCAGAAAGGCTGTCGTGTCAACGAACGCCTTTGCGTCAAGAGATGTCGAGTCCCTTTTGACTTTCTTGGCGCGACTTATCGATTGTTGCTAGGGAGCCAGCCGAGCGTAAACAATCGTGACTTCATCGGAATTTGCGCACGCGCACAGCTTGGTCTCGGATATCAGGAGAGCATTGCGACAGACGACCTGTCGAGGCTATCCATCCGAAATGCCTCGTCCTCAGGTATACGGAAAACGCTCGCGAGCCATCTACGACCCACTAGCCGCCCCTTTCTCCAGCCCAGAGCAAGCATCAAAGCCATCCAAACCCGAGAAGACGAAAGGGGTCGTCACCAGGACATGTCAACTAGTCGTGGAGGAGAAGCCTGCCGAAGTCTCTCGGAGACCCAAGAGAGCTGCTCTCGGAGAAAAGAGCCACAATGAGGTGGTGTTGCCATTGGAAGCTGTCAAGCAGGTAAAGAGGAAGAGCAAGAAGACGGAAGGCAGAGCTGGAGGCGAGGAAATCGTCGAGCAGAAGGGCAGGAGACTACGCAACAATAGATTGAATGAAGCAGAGCCAGGTCCGATCAATTCGTCATTACGAGACGTACCAAATCAGATACCTAGACCAGAGCAGTCGGCCAAGAAGGAAGAGAGCACGAGACAGCGGCGAACGCATACAAGGTTCGACGATGAAGGCACAGAGACGGTAGAGGTACGGACGATCGATCTTCCGAAAGAGCAGAAGCCCGCCGACGAGTCGCAACCGAGCGAATACGAGACACACTGTCAGAGGCTCCTCGATCTTTCGCCCCATCCGTTGACAGGCTTCGACACTTGGTCCGACCAGCTATCTGAGCACTTCGCCGTCACAAAGATTGCAGAAGCCTCGTTCGGCGAAGTCTACCGACTCTCATTACAAGAAGACATCTCAGAGTTCACGAGCTCAGACGAATCGGTCTTCAAAATCATTCCACTGCAGGCGCCAGAAAGTACACTACCTCAGGACAAGCGAAGGAGAGCAGCCGCTCGGAAGAAAGCGGAGGGAATGACCAAGCCCATGGACGTTGCGACTGAAGTCAAACTCCTACAGAGAATGAGCGCGATCCCAGGCTTCACGAATTTCCGCGACGTGCGGATTCTGCAAGGTCGGCCACCCGCCGCATTTGCTGACGCGTTCAAACAGTGGAATGCGGAACAGAAAGCAAAGAAGAAAGATCAGAGCCATTTCCCAGACCCGTCGAAGAGGAACAGCTACAACACGGACCAACTCTGGGCCGTGATCGAAATGCAGGATGCCGGCACAGATCTCGAACGAAGTGTGGAGAACGGCGACTGCACGTCCGTCTGGAAGGTCTGGGATATCTTCTGGCAAGTCGTCCTCTCCCTCGCGAAGGGCGAAGAAGGCGCTCAATTCGAACATCGAGACCTTCACCTGGGAAATATCTGCGTTCGCGCTGCTTCACACGGAGCCGCCGCAGACGTTGACATTACGAGGAAACTCGGATTCACGAGCCTGGAAACGACGATAATAGACTATACCATCTCCCGCTGCATCATGCCCGACTCCAGCATCGCCTATTCGGATCTCTCCCGCGACGAAGCACTATTCCAAGGCGACAGCACCGAAGAATACCAATACGACATCTACCGCTACATGCGCAGTGCTCTCTTCTTCGACGCGCCCATGGCAGACTTCTACTCCCGGGAATCGCTCAACGACCGTTCCTGGGAACAGTACCATCCACAGACAAACCTTGTCTGGTTACATCTCGTGCTTTACAAGCTACTGGAACAGATCGACTGGCCCAGCGCCAGGAAAGCGCCCTCGAAGAAGGCGAAAAGGGCAGAACACGCGGTGTGGAAGCGGTCGTGCGAGTTGGAGAAGATCTTGCTGAAGGCACAGGACCTTCTTGATCCGGACGAAGTTTGCAGCAACGGGATCAATTCGGCAAGTCATCTTGTCCTCACTGCTCTGACTGGGGGATGGTTGGATGTGGAAGACGTTGCTGGACATGAAATGGCCGATGAGTCGGCCTTGATCTCGCAATTGGACGGACTTGCATTGTGAGCTTTTGACTGTACTTGAGCGTGGCGTTCCCGGTCAAGCGATTGTTACATTTCATGGCGCTAGCTTTTTCTTTTGGGGCCGCATATCTCTCATAGCGCGGCGTCTTCGGCAGTCCCTAGGAACAAACATGTTGTACAATCCATGTGAAGGATTTCCCTCACCACTCGCAATCCCGCTATGACGTCTTGCTCTCACACTTGGGATCAGATGTCCATGTCAATGTCTCCGATACCTCCACCGTTTGCTTCCTCGGTGGCGGGATGACCAGCGTCTCCGTTTCCGGCTTCTTTTCCGCCCCAATAGTCTGCCATCTCCGCATCCAGCTCCTCCGCTGTCTTACGAGGCCTGCCGCCGACAAGTGGACGGCCGTCATCATCGGTGCGTGGACGGCGTGGTGGCCTAGCTTCCTCCCTTCTCTGTCCTGGCCGTCTGCCGGCTCCTCCGCGAGGAGTACCCCTGCGTCTGATGGGCGACCGTGAGCCGCGAAGGGGCATGTAGCGATCCAAGGTCTCTTGAGCAATTCTTCCTTTGCGAGGACTGTCGCTCCTGTGTCTCCTCCTACGCGGATCGTCGCGGCTGTCGCTTCTACTATCCTCAATTCTATCCGCCAAGCTACGCACTGGCTTTTCGATGCGGTCAGCCAGCGACACACCACGAGGCGCGCGGTCGCTGGGGCCGCTCGGCATGAGAGTCAGACGGATTGGCTGCCCGTTGGCGTACTGGTTGTCGAAATTGGTGACGGCTTCGCGCGCATCGCGGTGGTCTTCGTAAATGACGTAGGCAGTTCCCTGCGAGCGGTCTGCGCGGTCGTATAGAAGGCGGACGGAGAGGATGGGACCGACACGCTCAAAGAGTTCCTATGCGCTGTTAGGATTCGAAGACCTCTGCGGGTCTCTAGGCTTCAAGCTTACCCTCAGGTCATCTTCGGTCAATTCGTAGTGGACATTGTCGACGCGGATGCGGGTCCCGGCTCTACTCACGTGTCAGACCAATTCTTTCTAGGATTCAGCAATTGCACATACGGTCCTGGGCCGCGCGGTGGGCGTTCGTCGTCATAGGCTGGGGCTTTGCGAACTTCGGCTTGTCAGCCGGCGCCCTCAAGATCAGATCATGTAAGATCGTATGCATACCATAACGGTCGTCTTCGTAACGGTCGTGCACCCAGTCGCTTGGTGGAGTCAGCACTGTGTTGCGCGCAGGATATGCTGGATATGTGTAGCCATACGAGTCAATGTTGGTGGGCTCGTCACTTCTGTACTGTACGGCAGTAAAGCCCTGGTCAGCATGCTCCGGTCTGTATTGCCGTCGATGTCAATCGTAAGATCGCCGCGTCCGAAGAAGGCCTCCGTCGATAGCATCGCGCGTAGGGTTACGGTACGGGGAACTAGGAGGGAGGAAGTTGCACCTGTAATGCTCGTCAGTGATGGCGTCGCAGACGTGTTGTTCTCGAGATATTGGCCGACCTTTCGCACGCCGTCTCTTGGGTACTCCTCCCGACGTGGCGCTCTCGCTGGAGGTGGTCGTCTGTCTGAGCCGCGGCCGCCGCCTCTGCCTCCACGCTGAAGATGCTGTTAGCTGCTGTTGCCGTCGTTTGAGTCGGTAGGGATCGACTCACTGGGCGTGGGCGCTCGCCAATGATCTCATCCAAGCTGCGATCCATGTTCGGTCGTTGGCGGATGTACCGGTGCTGGAATGTCGAGACAGAATGTTCTCGTGTTTGGCATTATGGCATGGAAGTTCAGATCGGCGACCGGAGCATCGGGCGGGAAGAGCCGAGCACGGGCCAGCTCAACACCCTTCACTCAGGTCTGCCCTCCGCATTCTCCTCCACCTCCTTCCACTTTGGGACTTCCACCTGGCATGCGAGTCGAGCATTCTGGGCCCGTGGTGGCAGAACCGTACGGTTGGCCTCACAATGGAGCTTTATTGCCCAGCAACACCGCTCTAGTCATAATCGACATGCAACGCGATGTACGCCGTAGCCTATCATCATTGGGGACTTGCCGACATCTGTCAACTAAACTTTGCTTCTCTTGCCAGTTCTGCGAGGAAGGCGGCTATATGTCCCATCAAGGCTACGACATCACTCCCGCGAGGGACATAATATCCAGTGTTCGATCCCTTCTCAGAACATGTCGCGACGCCGGCTTCCCAGTCTTCCACACCCGAGAGGGCCATCAATCAGACCTTTCTGATCTTTCATCCCGGGAGCTGTTCCGCTCGCGGAACAATCCTTTAGGGCTTGGTATAGGTGACCGCGGGCCCCTGGGACGCTTGCTTGTCCGCGGGGAGCCCGGACACGATACCATACCAGAGTTGTACCCTGTGACAGGAGAGCCAGTGATTGATAAGCCTGGGAAGGGCGCCTTTACGCATACGGATTTCGATCTGCTCCTCCGTGTGAAGGGCATTAAGAACCTGATACTCTGCGGCGTAACGACAGATGTCTGCGTACATACGACCATGCGGTTAACTGCGCAATCATCTCATAACAACCTTGGGCGGTTGGCTGACCGCGTTGCAGCGAGGCCAATGATCGTGGATACGACTGTCTGATAGTCGAAGACTGCTGTGCTGCCAGCAAAGTATGTCTGATCAGCTACCTCCTTGAGACCCAAGCTGATCCTGTTGCCAAAAGGCAGAACTGCACCTCGCCGCCATCGAAATGACCAAAACTGAAGGCGGCGTTGTTGGAGCAACCACGAGACTGCATTTTTTACTCTCTACCATTCGACCTACTTAGTACTCACACCAGCCGCAATTAGAACACAGCTCGTATTAATTTTGATTTGTCCAACGACAAGATCGAATATTTTCCTGAAAAACGACTAACACTGTCCAGGCTCCTCTCCCATACCTCCCGAACATCACGCTATTGGGGTATCTCAATCCCACTGTCGACCTGTCTCGAACGCCCCAACACCAGCACACTTTGTGAATTACCTCCTCATGCTCCGCTCTGCTCAACGGTAATAAGCGCTTCCGGTCTCGTCTCCTAGGGCTTGGCCTCGCTTTCGGTGTCATCAGCCCCAGTCTCAGACTGATCGTTATCCTCATCTCGCTTCTCCTGGACCGCCTGGGCGTATCTGCTCTCCTTTCGACACTTTTCTCCCCAACCGAAGTACAAAAAGTACACCGGAATGACAAGAAGAAGCGCAATACCCGCCAGCAAGATAGTAGGCCAGACATACTTGAAGTCGCTGTTACCGTGGACCATCTTCTCGTACATCGGATTTGCAAAGAGCGCAGCAAGACCGGCGAGGAAGTCACGGCAGAAGCCGTTGCCGCCTGTGGCAGATGCAGCATATGGACCGTATGCCGCCACCATGTAGTCGATGGTGGCCATGTAGACCGCAAAATTGGCAATACCGATCATGCCGCTGAAGATCATGGGCGCGATCCAGTGGACGTCTTTCGCTGGGCCCAGAGTACACCAGGAGTAGCCAAAGAGACCGACGGGTACGAGAGGAGCGGTGAAGAGCAACCACCACAGACGCCTTTCAGGCGAAATTTTGTTGGCATCTCCCTGCATCACCTGACGATCTCGACGATATACCGGCATGAAGGTCGCCCAGGCGATAACGTAAGAGATTGCCAGTGGAAGGAAAGACAGTCCAACGGCGATGGTGCTGAAGTTCCATTTGTGCATGACCAGAGGGTAGGAGCTGAGGCCGATGAAGATGAGCGTGTCGCAGAAGCCGCTGAGGAGAGAGAGCCAGCGAACGATCGGCTCTTTGATAAGGAAGAGGTACGGACGCCACATCAAGACCGCAATCTCCTTACATGCTGCCTTTGGATCTCCTCGGATGCGATCCCAGAATGTACCTTCGAGTTCGCTCTCGGCCCAGATGTCCTCGCCATTCTTGCGTCGTCGTTTAGCTTCTTTCGCCAATAGCTTCTCAGGCCGAGTCTCGGGTACAAGGAACAAGTGAAGTATCTGCGTAATGCCACCGAAAATCAAGGAGATCCAGAAGACCCACTGCCATTCCAAGTATTGCTCGATGAAACCTCCAAAGATGGGTGCCACGACGCTGCCGCCGACAGATGCGAGCACCACATACGCAAGAGCATAGTGCTGGTAAGCCGGCTCGAACATGTCGGCGACAATACCCAGCGTGACGGAACCTCCAGCGGAAGAAAGCCCACCGAGCGTGCGCGCGACAAGGACAGTGCCCCAGTTCGGCGCCAACGCACATGGAATCTGCCACACATTGACCAGGAACAAGGAGCCCTGCAGGATCCACTTGCGCCCAAAGTCCTCGGAGAACGGAGCCCAGAGCTCACATCCAAAAGCGTAAGCGACCAGAAATGCCATCTGTCCCAGTCGGGTCTGCGCATCGCTGATGTCAAAGTGCTTGGACATGCCACTCACGGCGTTTGCGTAGATGGCAGCATTCCAGTTCATCGAGATCTGCAGGATGAAGATGACGGTGAGGACGCTCCATTTCTTCCAGCTCGGCCACTTGAAAGCGGTATACTCGTAGCCCGCTTTCTGAGTGAGGACGTTCTTCTTGGCCTGGGAGCTGTTGGTGATGATTTCTCGCACTTGCAGTCCGGTCGAGTCGTTGGAGATGTGGCGTTCGTGGACGCGAGTGCCTGTTACTTTCGGTTTGCCTACGTCTTCAGGACTGTAGGGGTGTTGTTCAGCCATCTTTGGCGAAGAGGTTGGTCCTGGAATCATAATTAGCCTATCGCTGACGAGAGACCTAACAAGAGATCAAATGTCTCCATTCTCGAAGGCGACTTTGAATGCAAAGTGATGATAGCACCAGACCAGAGGTCCGTCTCGGTCGACGCGGTAACGCCAACCCCGACTCAGGAGTCGCTCGCATCCGTTGAACGCAACCCATCATAATCAACAAGTTACTCACAATCGTTGCTTGCTGCCTTCTCTCCCCGGATTCCTTCCTCAGTGCTGCAGCGTTGAGCGTCTGGGGTAAACGCAATTCGATGTTGGGAGCGGAGGAAAACTGGAGACTTATAGCGAAGGCGATAAGGATACTTAAGTCGAGTAAATCGCTCCAAGCTTTTCTGCGATTCAGATTGCGAAGTGTGGATGCTATAGACCAAGAAGGTCAGTTGATAACGGCACCATGGGTTTGTAGTGTGCATTCCGTGGACTCGGGACCTCAGCTTACCTCTCGAGAGTTATTGGTGGATAGGTGCTCCACAGCCTCCAGTAAAGATGGAGTTATATCGTTGCTTCAAGAAAGTCGGGCTCGTGCTGTTGCGGAGAAGAAGTGAAGGTGGTCGAGTCTACGGGATAAAAATGCCATTGCAGGAATCCATAACCTTCAAAAGTGCTGTCACGAAAGTAGGTGCAAGCGCTGTTCGAGCACAAGTGGGAAGCAACCCTGGAAAACGTATACGAAGCCACGGTAGAAGCCGTAGCTGCTGCGTCCTTGAAGGAGGCAGGTGTTCCCCTGTGCGCACGGTTTTCGGGCTCTCATAGGTCTGCGGTTGCATGATTCATCTGTTGCCAGAAACCAAGATGACCTGGTTCGACACCGGGCTGGGTACATGAAAGCCGAAGCATAAGAAGATTTTGCCCTCGACATGCTAAATATCTTCACGAATGAAGCATACATATAGTCTGCGACATAAATAAGCTACATGGCGAGCTACTCAGAGCCATCAATTGTTCCAAAATGACAGCAGTACATTCCGAGAACGCTTCGCATGCTCAGATAAGAGAAGCCCCAATCTTGATCAAAGCGGATATGTTCGTGGTCGGGAAAGCCTTCAAGTCGAATAGAGGCGCATGGTGCATGATCCTCGATCTTCGTAAGGTTATTTTCTTGGCGGGACCGGACTTGGCAGTCCATTTGCAAGAATAGTCCATGTGGTCTGTACAGTGCGCAGACGCTTCGTTCCAACCTCTTGAGCCGAGTCGTGGATGAGATCTTCGCCTTCACGGCCACGCTTCAGTCGTTTTCCTGGCGGATGGCTCGGTGTTCTAAAAGGCGTGGCTGGAGAGCGCGGATCGAGGTCGGATGCGGTCGCGGTCGCGGTCGTGGGCGTCGCGCTACTCTTCTGACGCGGATGTGACATGGTAGCCACAGGCATATCGGCCAGTTGCAGGCGTTGAAGCTGCTCTTTTACCTGTGTTGGAATCACAGCGCTCTTCGTGTACTATAGTGTGTCAGCTGACCGCAGAGACAGGGCATCACACATGGATTACCATCTGCTCGACGTGGAGTTGAGGATCAAACAGCTCACGGATCATTCTGTCGAAGTTTGTTCCCCCATTGATGGGCACGAAATGCGGCTTGCCGCTTTTCCCAAACCCGCGACTGTGCGAAGAGGCGACCGGCACCACAAAGCCTTGCTCACGAAGGTGAGTGTGGACATTTCCGGCTGTTTCGGTTCGGACGCCTGGGAACATTAGTACAGTGGCGCCCATCCGAGTTCCCTTATCAAAACTCACCAAGCCTCTTTCCCAGGTCGGTCTTCGTTTTCAAGCCATGCTGCAAAGCGGTGACCATAGCTCGCCGCTTCAGCACGAGATCGTCAATCACCTTCCGAGTGCTATCGTCACGGCCGTGGAGAAGACAATGATAGCACGTATAGTTCTCAGGAATGCGAGGATCCTCAGCGCCAGAGAATCCCTGGCAATGGTAATGTTGCGAAGTTCCACAGCATGTACAATCGATCTGCACACATGTTAGCGGTCGCCCTTCTGTGGTCATGTTCGAGACTTGCCATTTGATCATCCCGGACTTGCTTCCCGCATTGACAGTATAGAATGTCGCCAATTTTGCCATGAGATATTTTGGCTTTGGCAAGCTTCAGAGCACTCTCTGTGAGGTTGGTCTGGTTAGCGTGCAGCTTCGACACCACGGCTGGATCGAGCTGTAGCTTCTGTAAAGGCGTCGAAGTTGCAGCTGGCGGCGCGATCGATGGCACCTTTGGGACGCTATAGACTGGTACTGGCGGTGGCCGCATGGATGCTTGTGTTTGCGTATCGCCCTGTGTCAAGTGCTCGGGCTGCACTGCGCCCTGGAGCACAGATCTCATTCGAGGAAGGTCGCTGGATTGTGTATCGAGGCTCTCGCCAAAAGCACCAGACGGTTCGCCATCTCCAAAACCAGTATCCTCCCGATCGTCGGATGGAGTGGTTGCTTTTTCTCCTTGTGAAGCCTTGTGAAGCACGTCAGATGTTGGCGCGGGCGTCGCTGTCTGCTTATCTTGCAACTGTTTCATATAGCTCTTGTCGGTCGTGTCGGGATCAATGACAGTAGAAGGTGTAGCAGGCGCGACTTCGAACATCGATTTATCCAGCTCGTCGTAGATGGTACCATCACCGTGGAACTCTGATGTCTCAGGTAGAGCAGGAGCTTCGCTTTGAAGCAACTTGGTTGTATACTGCGGTTGAACGAGCGAGATTCTCAAGCTTGCACTGAAGACCTATCAGCAAAATATTCGTACTGAGATCATGCGTTGCATACCTGTGTGACCCACTCTTGAGCTGTTCGAACTGCACAGGTCGCTTCTCCCAGCCCTGAACGGATGGAAACAGGAGCTTGTCTGTTTCCGCAGTCTTCCAGCCCGGCGCGACGTCATGTTGCTCATCGAAATGGATCATGTTCAGACCAAGATGTTTCTCCTCTGCAATGGACAAAGTCAGCGATGGACACCAAGACAAAAAGGCGCGCACTGTGATCTTACCTGGTAGGTCAGGAAGCTTCTCGCACATCTGCATGACGGCCTTTTGCAATATCCGAAACTTCAAGTTGGTCTCTTCAACAGTAACGGGTTCATCGCCCGAGCCTCCCATTTCTATGCCAGCGGCGACTCTGTCGCCTTCTGACTCGGCATCATACTTGATAGTGAAAGTGTACGTCTCAAGGACTTTTGCCCTGTCACTTGGGTCTGAGTGCACAAGGATTTGCAATGCTCGCAGTCGACCTTCTGCAAGAGCTGGAAAGACGTTCGTCTCCTGTGGCCTCATATTAGCTCTGCTTCAATTGCAAAGGATCTGCAGTCCACGTACCAGCCCATCGAGCAGCCTGTCCACACGTGAGCTTCGCTTACGCCGAAGCAGACACATTCGAAGACCCTCTTGGTGGGATTTCTTGCCATCACCAACGCCAGCGGCTTGCTCGTCGTCAGCACGATCGCCATACGCATACTCTCCGTAGGACGGAATGCGGCCCGCTTCGTATGTTACTTCGTCAAAGGCGTACTCGGAGAAGAAGTTGCGGTACCACGATAGTGTGCTAATTCCGCTGTGAAGGAGCGTCTGCATCACCTCGATGCTCTGCGCCTGAGTGATCTTCGTCTTGGTAAGTGTGCCCGCGGTGCGCGACTTCTGAAGCTGCTTGGTGGTGCCCATTGTGACCACCAAGCTGCCGCGAGAGGAGCAGTGGCTCTCAGGTGTTGGTAAAGTTGAAACGCAAGACCAAGTCGCTGGTGTCAAATGCGATATGAAGAGGCAATGGCCGATGGTAGAGACGAAAAGTGTGCAAGTGAGTGAGTCGGGAGTGTACAGGAGAGTAAGAGGGCGGCGACCTGGGAAGCGAATCGAAATTCGGGGATTCGGGAGAGGGGTTGATGCTCGCGGGAAGATGCGCGTATGAGGCAGGAGCGAAGGCAGGAGCGAAGGCAGGAGCGAAGGCAGGTCCTCAAGGCAGCCGCGCTCCACCGCATGTACACGAGAGCGCTCAACTGTCGTACGCAATGCGATTCGAACGCGCCGGAGATTCTACACGACATCCAAGTGAGGCCATACCGAAATCCAAGACGAATCCAGGGATGTCAGATCTACTCATGCAGTACTGCCGTAGTCAAGAGAGAGGCTACCACGGGATGAGATCTTACCGGTTCTTCGTTGTTTCCCCACGGGCACCGAGTGTCTTTCCCTCCACTTCTGCAGCTTCCGAGCTGTACCTTAGTGCTTCTGCCATGTTCGCAGTCTTCTGAGAAATGGCCCAGACCGCAGTGGGTCCATCACGGACATGACATTGGAGCTACTACAATCGGAGGATCCTCGTAGGAAAGTGCTCGCAGTACAACACGAGACAGCCGGGCGGCTCCACAACTGGGTCTGCGCATACTTCAGCCTCATTTCATGCTCGTTGCGATAGCGCTTCATTATGCATCTTCACAGACTCCACCTCTTTCTCTTTCGATTACGCATTTTCCGGCCTGTCTGGAAGGTCCTACTCTCTGTCCTCTCGCGCGGAGATCTGCAGTGTCCAATATCGAAGTCAGGCCGAGGAGCCAGTAGACAGAGTCGCCCATCATTCCATCAACGTATCTGTAATATGATGGGCCAAAGCTGATGATGCAGCGGAAGCCATGGAAGAGAGCGTGAGGTTAGTCGCAGCGTCGGGTGAGTTAGATTCCCGAGCTTGGACCACCTGCACCGCGCGGATTCCTCCCGAGGAGCTGACTTCACCTTTCACATCCCCCTGCTGTCCCATAACTTGCGGCGACGATTGCGACTTCGTAAACGCCCATCTCAAAGGGACTCAGTGGTCTTGGATGTGTTGGTCCACGGAGAAGACGATCCCGGATGCTGCCCCGTCTGACTAGGTTGTCCGAACATCACTTCCAGCGGTCAACGAATCAATGTCGGCAAGCTTGTGCGCAACTCTGGAGGACGAGGCGTTATGGCGAAGGAGATACTGGCGCAGGGCGAGACAGTAGAGAAGATCATGTTGTGGTGAAGAGTTATTCACGAAAGATATAGAGCAGGAAGACATCTAATGCCATCAATGAACGAGTGTTGGAGTGGACTTGAAAGAGAGCTGCACAACTCGCTGTACTATGCCGACGCAGCATGACAGATCGCCTTTGTGGACGCCATAGAGTGGCGAAGCTGCTGCTCGGTCAGCCTTGTGTGGTGCCCTGGAGGAACGTCAATCGTTGTTGTTCGGTGCCTTCACCGTGCATTTCATGGCTCAGCGTAAGAATGGAGAATTGTGAATCAAAAGTTGGCGGACCGTGTACGAACCAGGATATTTGATTGGTACCTAAATCTGCGGTGAATCTGATAATATGGCTGGTCAATGCGCCATCTCTCGCTTGCTGCCGGTCCCTAAAGTCGAGCTTTCAAGTCGCTTCCACCGCACAACGCCGTTTGAGAAAATTCGCCTGTACCGCCACAAACCCGTCAAGACCACCTGCAGCAGTAGACTACAGGGCTGGCACTGCCAGCTCTTCCAGCTCATCAACTGACGCGTCTCCAGCATTGAGTGCATTCACCACGACCGTACCGAAAAAGCTTAGTCAAGCACCGTCGCCCTTGACGACCTGGCCGTCACGCGTTCGAAGGCGCGCGAGCATCTTTGCGTCTCCCTTACATCTTGAAGACATCGCTCTGTTCAGCAGATCTTGCGGATCGCTCAACAACATGTCGAACGACACCAGCTCGAGCGGGTCGACACCGACGTCCCTCAACTACCATCCTGCCACCCACGAATTCGGAACGACCGCCACGCCAATGGTCACCGGCCAAGTTCACGGCGCGACTAGGCGTAGCACTCCTCATGCCAATTCCACCAATTCCTCCAGCCCTGCACCAACTTCGAGCGGCCGGAGAGCTGCGCGACCGCCAATGGCTCTTTTTTCATCCAAGATCTGGGCTTCACCGTCGCATCAGCCAATCAGAAGCGCCGGGCTTCCACCCAAGTCCAGCTGGGAGAGTTTTACAGACCCGCGCACTTCACTTCACTCTGCGCACGAAAGCGGCTCGCCTACCTCTTTCAACTCGCCTCACCCGGAGGTCGCGTCGGACAGTCGCTACGCCATCAGTCCACTTGGCTCCTTCGACAACAACATCGACTACGCGCAGAGCATGAACAGTCACGTTGCAAGCACCAGCTTTACACCAGGATCCAAGGGCCTGCATTTCACGCAAACTGAGCAGTACCATAATTCGAACTTGCGTCCAGGTGCAGCGCATCAGCAAGGACGCAGCAAGATGTCGCACACTGATCCACTTCCACAGCGGCCTTTCGCTGGGGCCGAGCAGATCACGGAGGGCTGCTCAAGCGCTGGCAGCTCCTCCAGCTTCCACTGGAAGCCTGGCACTCCACGCTCCTCGGCCTCTGCCAGCGCTAGACAACTGCCAGGACACCAGCAACAAGACCTCTCCTCGGATAGTCAGCAGTCTCCAGGCAGTGGCTCTGTGGCTCTGAGCGATCACTATACTAGGATCAACCCAGAGCAGACTGGAGCCAAGGGAGATGTGTGGATGGAGAGACCAAACCCACATAGCCTTCGCCGCGCGCTGCAGGATCCAAAAGCTGACTGGTCAGAGGCCTACCCGGGCTCGGTCACCATCCTGACTGCAATGAACCCGGAAGCATATCAGATGCCGTTTGGTGTAAGTTACCTTGCATCGTTGCAGCAACCCAGCACTAATGATGGTACAGACCCGCGTCGTGAACATCAAGACCGAATTCCCAGAGAATGTTCTGAAGTCCATTCAAGAAGGCAAATACTCCGTGATGGAGAAGATTGCGGACCGCATCATGCAAGTTTGGAATGCCCGAGAGGATCCCGCTGAGAAAGTGCTCTTCCTCTTCTCCATCAATGGCAGCAAGAAGTTCTGCGGCATTGCAGAGATGTCGGGTCCGTGGGACCGCAACGGCTCAATCAAAGGCTGGAAGGACAATCAGACTGCTCTCCCAAGCGTCGGGTGAGTACAACACTGCACAATCTTCCATGCACCTGACTAACGTGACCGCAGCGTATTCCCAGTCACTTGGGTCTTCATTAAGGACGTCGCCTATCACCAGTTCTCGGGCATCCGCCAGCCGCACAATCACCATTCAGTCGGCAACATGTGGAACGGCATGAACTTTCCAAGCGACATTGGACGGCAGGTGATCGAGACTTTCGTTAGAAGCCCAGCGACTTCGAGCATTCTCGGCTTCCCCAAGAACTATCCGGCGAACTTTGGTCTCATGCCGGCCGGAGTGGACAGCTACAGCGGTGCTCTCGCGCGTCGCGGAGGCTTCAACCCACGAGGTGCTCGTGGAGGACGCGGCTTCCGTGGTAGCTATCGCGGTGGATCATACAGAGCTCTCGGCTGGCGTGACCAAGGTGGTCATTACGAGAGCCAGTCTGATGAAGAGCGTACACCGGTTCCTGCAAAGTCGAAGTTGCTCACGGACGTCAAGGTCGAGCCACCAAAGATCAAGTCCGCGCCGCCTGCCGGTGTTCATTTTGCTCCTGGTGAACTCATGACCGTCACAGTCGACGAAAATGGAAAATTCCTTTTTGTGGCTGTGGGAGGCGAGGAGCACAAGAACTCGGTGTTTCCTCCTCGCGGTGACGAACTCATTAGCAGCAACTTCACGGAGAGTCACGATTCCGCTGCTGCGCACGGAGGCAATTCACAAGTTGGTGTGCTCGGCAAGCGATCATTCAGCAGCCTCCACCCCTCGGAACCTTCGGCCTCTACTCTGCGTGAGCAGGGTCGACTGGTAGCTACAGCCCACTACTTCGATACCAACCCTGATCCCAACTCACTGTACAGTAATGCCAGTCATTCTTCCTGCTTGGACAGCGGCAGCGGCATCCGCGCGACAGGCCCCGGCGCTTATGGCGCTGGAGAAGAGACACCAACCCACCGTCCCGTTCCGCATGGCGGAAGAGTTTCGATGATGGTAGACATGCAGCAGTCTGCTCTGGTCTCTCCGAACGGCAGCCCGACTAAACCATTGACCGAATATCAGCTTAAGGCAAAGTTCCATGCGCTTGCTGCGGAGCAGTATACCCTTCAAGATCAGCTGTTGGTCGTCACTCAGTCGGACATGAACGTTCGCCTGCTCCACGCCAAGCTCGCTCGTGTTCTGGCAGAGAAGCGCGAGGTGCTGGCTCAGCTGTCTTCGATGGGGGTGTTTGGCGAACTCGAGACCTTCTCTTCAATTCGTCACGACAGCTTCAGCTCTGCAGACGAAGCTTCCAGTTCTTCGCCAAGCGGATACGATGTCCGTGCCAAAAACGGACGGCGCCTGCGTTCCATCTCGAAGCTGAACTCACCGGAGCGCCAACAGCAGGCAGAGTTCGACAAGGCTCCTGGTGGCAGCGGTCGACAGAAGGGCCACCAAGAGAGCGACTCGGGCGATTGGCACGTTAAGAAGAGCATTACCGACCTACTCAAGAGCCCCGAGAAGGAAGCCGTCCCTGCTCGTCCGGCTATCGAGACTTCCACTTTCTTCCCGGAGAATCTTCCTTCCTCGGCCACTCGGAACGCCTTGAGCTTCAATGCTTTGGATGACAAGGCTGAGGCCAAGCCAGGCGCCTTCAGCGCTTCCGCGTCTTTCAGCTTCCCTCGTCTCGGAGAACTCGGAGCTGTCTTCGAGGGCCAGAAGAAGAACTTCAGCTTCACGGGCGCAGGCGAGCAGACTGATCGCAAGCCAAGTGCGCTCGGTACTCCCACGTCCTCACGGTTCGCTTTCGGCCCACCAGCGCAGACGAGCGGCTCGCCCAATGGGGTCCCGAAGAAGAACTTCAGCTTCACCGGCCCTGGCAAGCAGAGCGACAAGAGCCCAGCTCTGCGTAACAGCCCCAGTCGCGCTGCTGGTCTTGGACTGCAGCAGCAGGATGACGACGTGTCCGACGTTACCAGCGACGGCGACAATGAGCCAAAGAAGAACTTCAGCTTCCATGGCCCAGCCGGCGGTGTCCGCTTGGGCTGAACGACATCAACCACGTCCGACATTTCAACCTGTTTGTCTCACACGAACCTTGACGGCCCTCTTTTGTCAGCTGCTTCCAGATGGCACTTGATGCCGGACTCTGCCTTCTTGCATGGAAAGCGAACCTTGACTGTACAGACGAAGGTTGTGTATGCGATTGAGAGACTGGATGGTGCTGTTGTAGTCGTGAACATGGCATGTCGGCACTACTACTTTGCGAGACATGATATGATGAGCATCGAGGAGATGGATGTGGGACATGCAGAAGGCAGGATTGAAGGGACGGAGGCTTTCACGGTGTGGGCTAGCTTAGCTGCCCTCTATGTAGACCACTGAATCAACTTTCCTGCCCATTAGCTATGTGAATCTCGTTCCTCTTTCTCTCGCCTTTGAACAGCTTCCATAGGCTATGCAGAAACCACATATTCGAAGGAATGCTGAACACCTCTTCCAGGGACAAAGCAAAGGGAAGTTGGCACAGAACGCAGTATCCATCTTCGAAGCCTGCTGGAACAGAATACTGAGAAGCCCATGATCAGTTTTCTCCAAACAACAATCTGATACTGCGATCCCAATGCGTTCGTGCGTCAGACCTTTCGACGCTGTCCGATGTTGCAACCAGCCAGTCCGTCTGTCACTGGCCATGGATACCGGTAGCTGGTACCAGTGTCCGGATACCGATTTCATACTCTCAGCACTCGCAGACAGCTACATTCCGGGCGGTTCTCGGGGAACCGCTCAAGGTTCACATGTGAAGTGAAGCCTGTGCGGGCCGGTAGAGCGTTTGACCATTCCAGCACATGCTACGTGAAGGTCTAAGTAATGTGCGCCTTGCGCTTTTAATAATGCAATGTTTGCGATTTTGGAACTGATTCCGTGATTCTGCTTCAAACACGTCGATCAGATCAACAACATCGACGACGCGTCGAAGACTGCTGTTTTGAGGCCTGAGGATTCGCTCGGAGAGAATTCGTGAACTTTCAGGGGTTGGCGACAGAGCAGAGTCGTCACCGCGCGACTATGACCAAGCTTGAAGATCGCGGGCCACCATTCGAGCCGCAGCCCAAGGCGGCAGAGCAGGTCACGTCGCCACTTCATGGCGGTGCGTTGCCCTTCCAACCGCACCCGGTCCCACATCAGCTTCAACACCAGCGCAAAGACTCTACCAGCACCTCACCACTCCCTCCTCGTCCGCCACCACCACCTGCACCGCCAGTCGTCATGCCTCAACAACAGCAATCCAGTGCCCAGATTCCCCTCAGCTTCCCTCCGCTCGCCTACATGACGCTGGAACAGCACACCATCCGGCATCGCTTTTTCCGCACCAAAGCCAAAGTCCAGAAGCCGTGCCTCAAGTGCGAAGAAGACGGCTATCGCTGGGAGGCGCAGTCCCATCGCACGATCGACTGCAAAGCTGTGGAGCCGGAGTATCGCGAGCAGATCCTGCGTGACTGGGCGGAACTCGAGAAGTATGAGCCGGTGATGGAGGTGGAGTATGTGGATATCCCCGTCAAGAGTAAGTCTCCTCGGCCGGATCCCATGAAGTTCTTGGGTCCGAGCCCGACCACTATGGAGCCCCTTCCGCCGCCAGGGAAGAAGAAGTCGAAGTCGCCGTTGCGCCCGCCGCGTCAGCGGAAGCATGGTGTTGCCGGCGGTGGTGCGCAGCCTACGATCCATCCCTCTTACATCGCCATGTGGACTCCAAGCGCCCGACCACAGGGTCAGCCGGTGGACAAAGTCGCTCCATCGTCGCCTACTGCAGCTCAGCCATCAACGCGTACGAAATTTGAGCCGCCGAAGGGACCCAAGGGCTGGAAGCCGCCTACCGATGCCAGTGCTGCCAAGATCCCAGCGGCGGCTACTTCAGCTGTGGTATCGGGTGGCGGCAACTCATGAGGTAAGGTAGCATCAAACTCGGAACAAGCTCTGGTGTTTAAAAGGTGACAGGTAAGTCTGCGAGCGCACAGCAGCGGCAGCAACAGCAGCAGCAGTCGAGGGATTTGTGTGGGATCTCGGACCGCGTAGCGAGGGTATTCCAGAGGGACAAAGGCTGGTGGATGGCAAGGGGAAAGCGCGCATGCCATAGGGCACTTGATACGGAATAGCGGAGGGATGCTTTGGACTTGGTTCATCGGCTATAGCAACGCGCAATGAATAGAATAGCGGGCATAGCAAACACGTCGTATTGAATCGTGTTTCGGTTACGCGTATTGTCCCTCTCCCTTCGGCTATTGTGAGTTTGCCCAGGTGAAGTTGACAATACGAAGGCAGCCAAAGTGAGGTGAGGTTGGCGTCAGGTTTTTCTTCTCCATGGCAGTCAAAACTTCGATCTTGACAAAACATCTCCATCGCCACACCACCGACCCTGCTGCTGTGCCGCTCGTCAGTAGCACAGCACAAGATACTAATACGGAGATACAGAGACCAGAAAAACAACATTCCACATACACAACGAAGATGGCGGCGGCAGCTCACTGGCGCTTTGTGGTCCTCCTAGACCAAGCCAGTGAGGATAGCCTATGGGCAGACCTCCAGCGTGCCCTGGAGGAGAAGATGGAGCACGAGCCTCGCTCCTGGCTCGCAATCGCCCGCGAATTGGAGGCGAGTCTTGGCCAGATGTTGCTTGCCTTCACGGCGCATGGCATTGGAAGGGGCCAGCCCCGAGTGAGCCACCTGCACAGCCGATTGAGAGTCCTCATCGAAGTCTTGGAGCAGGAAGAAGCACAAGCAACGCGGTGAAGCGCCCACCAGGCCAGAAGCAGGACCAGCCAGAAGACTTTGCAGCATCAAGAGAGGTCGAGGAAATACGGAACCCATGATTCACAGCCCAGTATGTTGTCGAAGCAACGTCCGAAGACGCATCAGCTGCAAATCAGCCGGCTAATTGTCTTGTCTTCCAGCAGGACGACCAAATGACGACCAGAACTCTCGAACTCGCGAACTCTCTCCATGATCCCGCCGAAGTTCCGTCAATATGCCGGGATTGTATGGTTGGCAAGGAAGCCAAGGAAGCGCCATGGAGATCCCTGGACAGCAAAATGATGGTTTCTGCGAACTACTGCTGGCAGGATGTTTACGGCGTGGGACCTGATTGTTTACATTTTGCTCGGAGGTTTCTTGAAGTCCACTTTAACAAGAATGGGGGGCCGGAAGTCAAACAGCAAGAGATCGTCGTTTCTGTTAAAGTATACGCTGGTGGAGGAGCGCATCATGGGCCGAAAGGATTCACTTCAAAGCGATGGTAGGCCGGCGGGCGAGGATTGCAGAGGAATAGAGATAGTGGCAATGAATATTGAACAAGCTTCCCATGAGGACCAGTGAAATACGGTTGAAATCCGCCGTCACCGCGAATGGGCCGTGATTCGGTGAGTGAATGTAGAGTTGAAGCCTCAGTAATGCGCCCTGCCATTTTTCAGCGCGCGAGATCTTCCCTCTGTGCCTCCACACTTGGCAGCGGCGATCCTGGGAGGGCAGCAGCGCCTGAGACGTGAGATAGCCGCCATCCCCTCCCACACACTACCACCCTACTACCACCCTCCCTTCTCACCTCACTACCACCTTACCACCCCCACCCCTCCTCCACCGACACCGCCGCGTCCCTGCACATGACAATATTCGGCGTGACGCGAGCCAGACACCACATCCGGCAGTCGTTGGCATCGGGCGTGGAAGCGGGCTCCGGAGCAGCAGCAGGCACGCTTTGTTTGGGGGCGAGTGCCTGGAGGAAGGGACCGACCACACACCACAGACGACTGCATGACGCCGGCACCGTAATTGTCAAGTGTGCGGTCACGGGCTCCTGCCGAGCAATTCCGTCTCTCCACGAACAACTTGAACATCCACCTTGCCACGACCTTCACGACCATCACACGCACATCAACGGTCACCACGCACTCCGTCCATTCACTCCACGCCGAGTAATCCTCCGAGCCCGAGGTCGCCGCCCACCACTCGCGTAGAAAACACGCGAGACTGGCGACAGCAGCTACACCAATCTACCCGACCAGAACATGGACGACCGACGCAAGGTTGGACTGGGCCTGCACCACCAACCCAACTCCAACAACACTACCCTCGCCCCCGAGCACGTCCTCTCCACCGCACCTGCCTCGCCCACCGACGACATGTCTCATCGACCGAGTCAAAAGAGCTCCGGCGAAGACTCCACCACGAGCACAACGACGACTCTGATGATGATGCCGCCGCAGAACTCTACCATGGCCCAGCTTTCATTTGGACCGGCCACCCAGCAGACTGTCACCACCGTCACGACCACGACCACCATATCACTGCCGCCGTTGATCATGAGGCCTCCAAAAGACCTGTACGAGCGAGACCCTAAGCAGTACCCACTGGCCTTCTCACCTACCCCAAGCTCGATCAAGCGCTTCTGCTTCGACATTGATGGCCGCCCCACCCGCTTTGAGGAAGCGGAGGATCCCGACGAGACCATGCGGAAGTATCAGGACCTTCAATCTAAGATCAGCAAGAGCAACGGATCCATTTACCAGAGGGAAGAGCAGGATGGCTATCAGACACCTATGAGAGACCTCTCGGCTTCTCGCCTCAGCAAGAAGGTTCCCGGTGTACGTGCTTCGAACGCTCCCAAGCGTACTGCTACTCCGCCGTCTATAGCAGAGGCCGCGGAGCTTGCAAGCTTGCAGAGGAAGACCAAGAAGCAGCGCTCGCAACTGCACCGAACACACTCGGAGATGTCCGAGCAGCCTTCTCTTAACGAGAGGAGTGCTTCTGGGGCGTTTCCTACCGTACACGACCCTTCACACCCGTCGCCAGTCACTCCGGATACTGATGCAATGGGAGTCGTCCCTAGGTCTGCGGTGGACAGACAGGGCGATCCGAGGAGCCGTGGAATACTGAAGCCTTCTCATTCCCGTGTCCAGGAGCTGCAGGATGAAGGAGGAGACGACTCGCACATGGCCGATACTGAGGCTCAAGACGACGACTCGAGGAATAGACCTCGCTCGTTTGCAAAGAAGAAGAAGAGGAGCTTCGCAGAGTCGAGTGGAGCAGAACACAGGCATACTCTCCGAGCCCCGTCAGCCGTGGCTGCCACAACACCACCCGTTGCTGAGACTGACATGGACCCCGTCGAGCAATCTGAGCCACGCTGGACAGCGATGCCACCAAGCATTGTCACAAGTTCACAACAAGACGCTAGCCTGCCCAGTCCGAGCTTGTCACCAATCACTGCTGCCGCAAACCTGGCCTCTCGACAAAACGCCTTCGAAGCTTCCTTCACTCAGCATAACGATGAGAACGCCAGTGTGGTGTCTGGTCTTGACCTCGATGACGATAGCCAGGCTCAAAGTGCCAAGTCCTTCGAGTCTCAGTCCTCTAAGAAGTCTGGCAAGGCGACCTCAAGTCAATCCGCTCATGGCACTCAGCAATCACAGACGTCTGCCACGGCGGCGCCAACAGTCATGGACATTCCGACCATGGTCGACGCCTTTGATGGCATGTCAGAGTCCATGCAGACCTACCTCATTTACCAGTTCCTGCGTCGTTGTGCCAAGCCTACATTACAGATGGTTGCCAACGTGGTCAATCCCGCTCTGAAGTGTGATCCGTTCAATGTCCTGCCTCCCGAACTTGGCCTCAACATTGCTCGCTTCTTGGATGCTCAGAGTATGTGCCGCGCCTCCCAGGTTTCAAAGAGGTGGCGTAAGCTCGTCAATTCGGATGAGAAAGCCTGGAAGGACCTGCTTGAACGTGACGACTTTGTTCTGCCTGACGGCGAGATTGCGAGAGCTGTCCGGGAAGGGTGGGGCTGGCAGCACCCTGGCGAAGATGGATATGAGCAAGATCTCAGCAAGCCAATCCGCAGCCAATCGCCAGAGCCTGTCGAGACTTCGATCATGAGTGACGACGAGCTTACTGCTTCGTCCACGGTGACCACGAGGACAATGAAGAAGAGGTCGATCGTGAAATCCTCAAGCTCCAAGAAGTCGAAGCGGCGCCCCGCACATGCGTCATCTTCGGTTACAAAACCAACTCCCACTCCAAATAGCAAATGGCTGAAGCTCTTGAGCACTGCCAAGGGTGCCAACGCTTTCGCGCATGCCGCTACTCAGGCTGTGCCGCATCCCGCTATTGGGCTGGAGAGCCTTCGTAACATGCACCTCTTCAAGTCTCTTTACCAACGCCACTACCTCATCCGCAAAGCCTGGATGGATGCAGATTGCCAGCCTCAGCATCTTGCCTTTCGGGCACACCATCGGCACGTGGTTACCTGCCTCCTGTTCGACAGTGACAAGATCCTCACGGGCAGTGACGATACTAAGATCAACGTCTACGACACCAAGACCGGTGCACTCCGAACTCGTCTTGAGGGCCACGAGGGAGGCGTGTGGGCTTTGCAATATGAAGGAGACACCCTGGTCTCCGGCTCGACTGACCGCAGCGTGAGAGTATGGGACATCAAGAGCGGGCGTTGCTTGCAAGTCTTCCAAGGCCACACTTCGACCGTACGCTGCCTTGTCATCCTGAAGCCTGTCCAGGTCGATACGGAGCCTGATGGTACGCCCATCATGATGCCAGAAGAGCCGCTGATCATCACCGGCTCTCGTGACTCGACACTCCGAGTTTGGAAGCTGCCAGAAAACGGCGGTCGCCAGATCTTCCAAGCCGGACCGCCTGCTCAAGACCGTGACAATCCATACTTCGTGCGAACGCTGTCAGGTCACCATAACTCGGTCCGTGCTATCGCCGCTCATGGAGACACCCTCATCTCGGGTTCGTACGACTGTACAGTCCGTGTCTGGAAGATCTCGACTGGAGATCTCGTACACCGTCTTCAAGGCCACACTCAGAAGGTGTACAGTGTGGTGCTTGACCACGACCGCGGACGTTGCATATCTGGATCGATGGATAACCTCGTCAAGGTTTGGGATCTTTCGTCTGGCGCGTGTTTGTTCAACCTCGAGGGACATACGTCGCTTGTAGGTCTCTTGGATCTCAGCCACGATCGTCTGGTGTCTGCCGCAGCAGACAGCACGCTTCGCATTTGGGATCCGGAAAACGGCACTTGCAAGGCAACTCTTTCCGCCCACACCGGAGCTATCACTTGCTTCCAACACGATGGACAGAAGGTCATCTCTGGCTCTGACCGCACACTCAAGATGTGGGATGTGAGGAACGGCAACTGTGTTCGAGATCTCCTCACCGACCTCAGCGGCGTGTGGCAGGTTCGGTTCGATGAGCGTCGATGTGTGGCCGCTGTCCAGCGGAATAATCTCACATACATCGAGGTAAGACCCCTATGCGAACCAAAAAAAGGATTTGGAAGCTAATTGACGGAAACAGGTTCTCGATTTTGGAGCTGCTCGGGACGGAGTTCCCGAGAGCAAGCGTGGTCGTCGCGTCGTTGTCGACATCCGCGGCAAGGAAATCGAAGACGTCGACCACGCCGCTCTGGAAGAGATGGCGGCGGCCCAGGCAGCCTAGGGGGTTGGTTGGTAAAATTCCGCCGCCTTACCTCTGGCTTTCACGACACTCTCACATCACACACAGCTTCTGACCGATACCCACGAATCTGGATCGATCCAGTCGGCATCGATAATTTGTCATTCGAACGAGCGCAGCGTTATGGTGCACAGATTTCTCGTTTTCTGTTGGAACGGATAGGGATGTTTAAATTCGACAAGCGAGCATATGGTTTCACGCTTGCATTCTCTGGGAGTTCCGGGAGTTCTGGTGACGGTGTGTACTTCAATGGGACGACATGGGCAAGCTGGCCTCTTTTATGGAAATGGCAATACGACACGGTATGGGACGCAGTAAGGACTTTGATGGATTGAGATACCTCTTTGTTGCTGCTGTTAGAGTTTGCATGGACACATTTACATCTTCTCCAAAAGCCGCTCTATCTGCTTGTTCGATTGTTCTTCTCCTATGGTGCCTTCACGGGTCTCGTGTCTATGCCTTTTGTCTAGGTCAACGCCTTCAGCGGCGTCCTGCTCAGCAGCCTCCGGTCGTGTTTAACGATGGTCCTTTCGGCGGCAATAAGACTTTAGCACGCAATCAGAGCGCTTTCCGTGCTTGGTGCCATTCGGCATGCGACTCCAATCTGCTGCAGCGACAGTGCTGTTCCGTGAGTCGTGATGAAAGTCTCTCCCGTCCTTTTGTCCTCTTCATGATTCGGTCCTCCCATTTCTCTTCCTCCACAATTCCACTCCCCGATCAATCTCCTTCCTACTAACCCCATCCCGGACCAACTGCATCACAACACCCAACTCTTCCACATTCCGATTCCGACTCTCATCATCAAAGAACAACATTTCCTCATACGCAACCCCGCTCTTCTCGTGCAATTTCTTGAAATGCGTCGTCTTGCTCCCGGGGTAAATCTCCAGATGATCGAAGAGAGAGATGGCGGTGGGGTTCTCGGGAGACGGGATTCGCAGGAGGGAAAGCATGGATCGGGCGAGCTCCGGGGCGGAAGTTCGAGATGCGGCGGAGAGGGTGATGTTGCGGGATTTGATGTTGTGGAGGATGGAGGGGATGTCGTTGTAGAAGGCACAGGGCTCGCGGTAGCGATCTAGCACTACGAGGCCTGGGACTGCCGGGTCGGGTTTGAGGGGGCTGGAGATGTGGGTGTCGACCCAGAAGGGCCTGCGTGGGGGAACGTTTAGGATCAGGTTGTTGAATGGATGGGGTTGTTGGAAGGGTAAGGTAGGTGGGTTCTACTTACCAGAGTGTGTAGTCTAGATCGAAGACTATCATTTTCGGGAGGGGGAGGCCGTCTGTGAATGCTGTTGGGGGCGCGAGGGAGGATGTTGAGAGGCCGATGGGTGTTATGTCGTTTTCTGCTGTTGTTGTGGAGGCTTTCTTGCGGCCCATGATTATTGCGGTGATTAAGGCGACGAGGGCGAGGAGGAGAAAGGTGAGGTTGAAAAGGGAGAATGAAAAGGATTTGGTGTTCGATTTCGACGCCGCTTTTGGGGGTTGTTGTTTCGGAGCCAGAGCTGCGATGGTTCTTCTATAGAGAAGTTTTGATTTATTGTATTTGTTTTCACATGCGTGTATGTTTCGTGTCGAGGAATTCATTCACTCGAGACGTTGCGAAGAGACGTCATTGGCGGCGCGAGGGATCGCTTGACGGCCTGTGCTCCATAGCACCGGCCTTTCGGAATTCTGAAGTATCGTTTCTCCGCGCTGACTCCATTGGAGCAAGAATTTCGTTCATCAATTTCTGGAGCTTTGCATCAATTACCAATAAATACACGCCAAAGAATTCAGGCTGGCCGCAATGGAAGTGGGACGGAGCTGCAGAGGTCCACCAAAACTTCCCTGTAAACTGATCTCGAGCTTCATCAAATGTGACGAGAGCTGCCTCCTCTAATTGTATATCCTCCGGACGGTGTGGGCAAGAGTTTTGGCGTTTGGCGCTCGAGGATCCAAAATCGCGTGGAGTCTGGCCGTCGGCCATTTCACCTACCTGAATCAGCCTTTGACCTGTTGATCAGTCTAATAGATACCTTGAGCCGCACTTATCAGTGCCCCGCATCTTGCGGCACTACTCCTGTTCCTGACGGGAGATTGCGGTAGGTGTTGTTGGTGTTGGTGGAGTGGCTTTATTTGTTAGATAAGTTCTGCAATGCATCTGTGTTCCTATTTCACTTACTTTGAAGCAGCTTCGATTTTCACTTCTAGACGCATTGATTGGGTGATAGATTCTGCGAAGCTAGAAAGGAGACAACGCCATGTCGACCAACGGAACTCCATCAGAGAAGCACGCGATCATTGGAAACGATGACAATTTCTGGCTGTATTCTTCAAAGACCGGATTCGATCTCACGCATCCGCCGAAACCAGACTCACCTCCGGTACAGTCTAGCGTCACTTTGGAGACCACTTCAGTGCCAATCACCATCGATCCGTCCAAGTCGGCATTGATCGTAATAGACATGCAGAACTTCTTTCTCAGCGCCGCTCTGGGGAGAGCCAGAGGAGCTGGTCACGAGGCCATGGATCAATTGATGGAGAATGCGATTCCTGCGTGTCGAAAGGCTGGAATCAGAGTGGTGTGGGTCAACTGGGGATTGACGGAGAAGGAAATTGTTGAAATGCCGCCTGCCATCAAGAAAGCTTTCGGCTTCAAAGCTTCTGACGAGGCAAACCCACATTTGTTTCACGGGAAACATGGAGGTGTTGGCACCAAAATCAAGTCTGGCCATCCTGAATACCATGGAGGAGCGAAAGTCCAGGAAGATGGCGAGCATGGTCGCATTTACACCGGCGTAGGAAGCGACATGGGGACGGTGAAGGATCCAGAGACCGGGGAGGAGATTAGTGCTGGAAAAATGTTGATGCGAGACCAATGGAACGCTGGCCTCTGTCCACCACTTGACAAAATGTTTGAAGAAGGGACGAGGCTCAGCCACAGGCCTGATGTTTGGGTGCACAAAAACAGAATGTCCGGCATGTGGGGTCCTCAAACAGAGCTGGAGAGGTTCCTTCAAGACGAAGGAATCAGGACGCTACTTTTCACTGGCGTTAACACAGATCAATGCGTTGGTGGAACTTACCAGGACTGTTTCTCGAAGGGCTATGATTGCGTACTGCTGAGCGATGGCTGCGGCACGACCAGCCCGCCGTTCTCCCAGCAATGTATTGAATGGAACTCCGCAAACACCTGGTAAGTGATACCATCATTCGACATGTGTCTTGAATAATTTGCTGATTTTCAGCGGCGTTAAGGGGCTTCGCTGCAACGTGCAAACACCTGGCTGATGGGGTTGCTGCGATGAAGGTGGCCTAGATTGTCTGGCTGTTTCGGATAATTCGACGAGTCTATGATGAAGCCTTGATTCCTCCGTAGCATCTGCTCAGACAATCATCCGACGGGAACTTGTACAGTATTCACCTGGCGCACGAGCACTGGCATCGCCTTCACAACGTCGCACACCACCAATCTGGTTTGGTGTGGGACTTAAAGTGCCGGCGCGATGGGGCGGGGACGTCATCCAGTCCGGGGAAACGGCAGCACGCAGCAGGGCCCTCGGGACGGCTAAAGCGGGCATGGTGCAGGCATGTGATGTGACTTGAGGTGATTGAAGACGTAGCTACAGACACTCTCATTAGACAGAATCAAGAAATTGAACGACTGTCATTTCTGTCCAGTTAGACATCCATCCGAGCTACTTGCTCTTTCCCTGCGGAAGTGATCCACCATGGCTGCTCCCGCACGAAGGCTGGGTACGTTCTGCCCCTCCTCGGGGTGTGGTCTGAGAAAGTCGAGCTGATGTCTCCTGCGCAACAGTGAGACCAGCGCTTTTGTGCGTTTCAATCTCCCTCTTTCTTTGACGCCCTCGGCTGACAAGCCGTTGCAGCATCTGCGATCTCCAAGAGAAATTCCGCTCGGCCATCTACGAATTCCCCAAAGTCGTCGCGACGACGCAGAAGCTTCTCAAAGCCAGTCAAATCCTCGACATACCCGTCTTCGCTACGACCCAATTGCGAGCGAAATTGGGCGAGACATGCCCTGAGCTAGGATTGGATGCGCCAGAAGGCGTGCAGACAAAGGCGCACGCGGACAAAAGCGCGTTTTCCATGTGGACGCCCGAAATACAGAAGGCTTTCAAAGAGCTCGGGCCAGAGAAGCGGGAATGCGTTATCGTGGGCATCGAGACACACATCTGCGTGACGCAGACGACGTTGGATCTCCTGAGGGAAGGACATAAAGTGTACGTGATTGCGGATGGGGTTTCGAGCTGTAATGCGCAGGAGATTCCGATTGCGTTGAACCGGTTGAGGGCGGAAGGGGCTGTTGTCACGAGCTCCGAGAGTTTCCTGTATGAGTGTATGGGCGATGCGGGAATAGGGGAGTTTCGGGAGATCTCGAAGCTGGTGAGAGAGTATAATGGGAAGACAAAGGAGAGCTTGCTGGCGTTGTCTAAGTTCTGATAGGCGATAAGCTCGAGCAGAGCTTGCAATGAGAAGGCAGCAGTACCGTGGACTGGCCATTGTTTTTGGTCAGGCGAGAAGCGAATGTAAGTCAGGCGGAAGGTGAGATGAGGAAGGATATGGCTAGTATATATGCAGTAGGTCCGGTCAGCGGCAGCACCATGGCTGAAGGGCATGGATATACATCTCGTACCGGGCGTAAGCAGCCACGGGGATAGCATGCGGCTGGCGCTATTTCCATGTTGCATGAGGTGGAGAGGAACACGAGTGCGTGTAGCGAGCAATAATGTGGCGTCGACGTCGGATTCGAGCGTCGCAGGCAGAAAGAAAGGCGCGTGTGGGTGAACGGGCCGCTCTGGGCACGCTCGCACCTCCTTTGATATTTATTGTGACGTCCTTCACTCTGCGTGTGCCTGCCGTAGTATTTAAGTTTCCCTTGGTACATGAGTCGTGTGTGTGGCTACGTCGCACATTGAACTGCCAGCCAGGCCGTCGCGTTTCTCTTTTACCGCTTGAACCTCTTTTGCGAGCGCCCCCGAAAGCCATCGAGCGTCAGTGATCCGGGGTCCAACGGTGCCACTCACTCATTTGGATTCAGGATTCACAATCCAGAAACCATCGGGTACAACAGACGCCGGCGACTCGTGTTGCTTGTGTCATCTCCCGCAGACGGATCGCAACAGGGGAAGGCAGAGGAAGGCGGTCCTATTCTGTCCGTCCTGTGTGCTCAGCCGGGCCTGAGGACAGGGTTAGGGGCAGACAGCATCGATCCCGCGAGTTAATCCCACACGCCCAAAGCCAAACCCAAGAAGCCGCCGCTGCTCGCTGTGCAACTCCCACTCCAACCTCGACACCTTCACCACCCCGACTCCCCAAACTCCGCGCTGCTCGACGTCGACCTGTCCCCGTCGCCGCTCCCTCATCCTTCATCACCGCCTCCGACTCCCACTCCGCCCGCAGCGCCGCCAGAAACAAAATCTGCCCGCTGCACCTTCCCGCGTCCAGCACTGCACGGACAGAAACACGAGAAACAAAAGTCCACTACTGGCTCTCCTCCTCCATCGTGCCACCCTCGGCGACAATCTCTATTCGGTCCTCGCTCGTTCGCTGCTATTTCCCAGCCAGCGACTCGCCCGTCGCACTGCTTCAAATGGGAAGTGCGCGTTGCTTCTTCGTATCCGCAGAGCGACTGTGCTCGTGACACAGGAGTAGCAATCGCAGCAGACATGGCCGGCCTTCCCAACGGCCAGCGACCCGACCATCAACATCACCAGCCGCAACGACCCAGCCTCAACGCACACCACTCCAACTCGGTCCCTTCCACACCGCTTCAAAAACCTAGACAGTTCTCCAGACGCTATTCGCGCTCGCCCTCACCCAACCGCGCCCTCAACAGCCAGTCGCCGCGCTCTGTCGTGTCAGAGGCTGTTGCTGGAGCAAATGGATCACGTTCGGCCGCAGGAGCGGTCTGCAAGTTTGAGACGGGCGCTGAAATTAGGAGACGGAGAATACCTTACCTCGACACCTACCTGAACGACGTTGCCCCGCCGAAGAAGGAGCCCCGGAAGACATTGGAGCCGCATGAGCAGGATCGACTGAGTGGCGATATGCGCGAGCTGTACGACCGGTTGTTGCCTTCTGAAGAGAGCGAAGAAAGGAGAGCGCAACTTGTGGCGAAATTGGATCGGATACTGAATGAAGAGTGGCCTGGTAACAACATCAAGGTTGCTGTCTTTGGCTCCTCAGGGAACCTGCTGAGCTCAACAGAATCCGATGTCGACATTTGCATCACAACACCGGTGAAGAACTTGGTGTCCATGCATGCCCTTGCCGCTCTGTTGGCCAAGCGTACGTTCAACACTGGCTGTCTCAAGGATATGCTTGAGCACTTTTCGGTCCGCTATGGAAGCTGACGTATACTCTTAGATGGCATGGAGAAGGTTGTGTGCCGAGCAGCAGCTAAAGTCCCCATTGTGAAGTGCTGGGACCCTGAACTGCAGCTTGCATCGGATCTCAACGTCAACAATCCTTTGGCTCTTCAAAATACCCGCTTGATCAAGACATATGTACAGATTGACGACAGGGTCAGACCGCTGGCCAAGATCATCAAACACTGGACAAAACAGCGGGTGCTGAATGATGCTGGTGCGCAAGATTCTGTGGACGTATTCTTGATTTACACCTGCTAACTTGTGTCTCAGCATACGGAGCCACCATCAGCTCATATACTTGGATATGCATGATCATCAGCTTCTTGCAGCGGCGGAAACCTCCCATATTGCCGTCGCTGCAATTGATGCATGGTCCACGGCCTCCACACCCACCTGACGAACAAGACGTGTACTTTGAAGAAGTCCTTGACAAGCTGAAAGGGTATGGCGATGCGAATAAGGAGTCCTTGGGAGAACTTCTTTTTCAGTTCTTTCGACACTACGGCTACGAATTCCAGTATGCCAAGTATGTCGTCTCGGTACGGGAAGGCAAGCTTTTGTCTAGGAAAGAAAAGCGCTGGGGTCCGGGTGATGGCGCCCATTCAAAACATGCTAATGACAAGCTATGCGTCGAGGAGCCGTTCACCGTTGACCGAAACCTGGGCAACACTGCCGACCATTACGCTTGGCATGGCATTCACCTTGAGATCCGGCGGGCCTTCGAACTGCTCGACGACGGCTTGCAGTTGGACAAATGCTGCGAGCAGTATGAGTTCCCGCAGGAGGAGAAGCCTCTTTTCCAAAAGCCGCCACCAAAACCCAAGCCAACGCTGACAAGAAGCGCTTCCCAATCAGGGCAGAACAATCACGATCGGGAATCGGTATCTGGACGGTCTGGAAAGCCTCGCAATCGCAATCAGTCATCACAACGTGCTGGCAACCGAAGAGCGTCTAGTGGTGCTACCTTCAGCAACCAACGAATGCCTTTCAGTCCACCGATCGGCTCGACCTCAACCGACTATTTCCAGCTGAAGGGGAGCCTTCATGAACAGCTTTATCAACAGTATCAGTACTTACAGCAACAGCAAGATGTGTTGAGATCGCAGCTTGCTTCGCAGCAGCAGGCGCAGGCGCAGGCTCGAGTGGGAGACTTGGCTGGTGCTGGTTCTCCTCGACCGCGCTTAATGGAGCACCCGCCGCCCACGGCTCCTTTGCTAAACGGTCATTTGTACCATTATTCAGCAGCGCCGAGGTACCCGCCTCCCTCTCCAATGTCGCAGGCTCGATCGCGAGAAGGCACAAACACGAATCCGTCATCACCATCCTTGGTCGCCGCAGTGCCAGCACTGCGCAGACAAGTACAACGCGCATCTGTCGCGGATGGTGCGGCTAATTCTGCTAGGTCGCAGTCTCAGCCAGGCCGTTCGCTACCGCATCCGCTCGCTCTCCAACAACAAGCACATCCAGGACTTGAAATGGCTCTCGGGAGCCACATGCAGAACCCGCGCTCAGTGTCTCACCCTTACCATCCAGCTCAGCACGCAATGCACTTTCCCTACTCGCCTTATCCTCAAATGCACACAGTTGCACAGCCTTCGGATACTCATATGCCCAAGGAATATGTAGGATACTACTTGAACCAATCCCCTCAGCTTGGACCGCAGTATGGCGTGGCTGGACCCCAAATGGCGCCTGCTACGATGACCTTGAGAGATCCTCCAGCTCGACAACGGCGTGTTACACCAGAACTCATGCTGCCGACCCTTAATGGAAGGCACAGTTCGCGGTCTCCTTCGCCTCTGGGACATATGCGTAGCTATCCCACGAATGTCGACCGTCGAGCCAGTCAACCCGCAATCGTGCAGAGCCCTTCGACCTACGAGCCAAAGACACCGATGTTGCCAGCTCAGCCACAACCGCCGGCGCCAGCAGAGACTGATATTGGAGGCCCCGTCATAGTCAATGGATCAAATCGTAGCAACATTGCAAAGCCGGCAGAGCGTGTCAATGGGTTGCCGTCCAAATTTCAGACTGCGCGGACTGAAGCTGTACCACCGTTGCCAAGCGATGAAGGACTACGTGCAAGGCCTTTATCACTGCGAACGAGATCTGTTCGACCTCCTGAGCATTCAGAGTACAGCGCAAGACGGCCGTCTTCGCCGAATTTGTCGCCGACGTCGAAGTCAAAGAGCGATCGTCGCTTCACTCCCACTTCCCCGCCGAATGGAACTATGAACCACATGAATGGCTCGCAAGAGCGATATCACGAGTCTACACCGCATTCCGCAGCGCCGCTTCTCTCCCCGGTCGCAGAACTCCGAACGCCGTCGCCAACGCATTCGCGTGGATTCGATTCACAGGAAGTCCCTGAGACAAACGGTCTCGTAAAGGCCGCCAAGATCGCCAATGCAAAGCAGGTCGAAAGGGAAGCTGCAGAGGGGCGTGAAAATCGAGCACCAAGGATAGACTCCGGACACGAGCGCCGAGTAAGTGCGCCTATCCCGGCAAGCAACAAGCCAGTGCAAGGCTCTACATTCGGCCATCAACAACAGGGACAGGGGGCAACCAACCAGAGCTCTTGGCAGCAGGTACCGAAGAAGGGCCACAAGAAGAACAAGTCTACTGCGGCCGCCAGGACGCAGAACGGATCTGGCGGACACTCACTGCCTGCTAACGAAGCTGAACGCAAGGGCGGCTAGATCTGCGGGCTATGTGATGATTATGAAGGTTCTCTGAAAGTGGACAGAACAACTGGAAGGACTATGTTTACAGCAAAGTGCAGGCAACGCTTGCCTCCTCACATCCGACGTCTGGCTACTGGCACGACTTGCGAATGGAAGCGAAATCGGCAAGGGCCATCCGATCGGCATCGTGTTTCATCGCAAAGTTGGCAAGCCAATGAGAAGGCTTGGCGGAGGGGGATTCGATGAAGTCCAAGGACAAGGAATCGTTGCGCACACGAAGTTCTGGACCTTGGACGGAGACTTCGCTTCTTATGGACGCGTGAACCCCTGAGGCAGAACGACGCTTGTTCACTGGGGCTCGGAGGGAGAAGAGTGGACGACATTTTGGCTTCTTGGACGTCACTTGGGACGACTTTCATCGGAAACAAACAGGCGTCGGCATTGCGGACCAAAAGGCGTATCAGCGTTTTGTGGCATTTATTGTAAGCGTTTAGCGGAAACTTAACTGGGGAAAAGGACACCTTTGTGTGGTTGTTTGAGACATGGCATATTGAAGGCCGCATGTGTAGCGATAACCAGGACTTGAAGCGTATCGCATCGTAGTAGTATCTCGGAAGAAAATCGCGAAATAGAGTTGTTCTGCAGTTCGGCGCTGAGAAGACGCTGGCTGTGATTTGACGGCACATGTCGAAACATCTCCTTCTTCTTCATCTTCAACTAGGCAAGGTAGTAGGGATGAGAATGGCTTTGGTAGTGTATGAGGAGATCGAGGTGTCTCAACAAGAGCGATGATACAGCCTACCTTCACCATGCCTGCTACTCACACCTCTCAAAAGGTGCAGATTATGCACGATATACTTATGCATATCATAGCGCGTTTCGATTCGGTCACGTCTAACGCAGGTGGTCCCCGGTTCTCCGTTTTCATGGGTAAAGATGCATTGTGTATGGGAGTTAGGGGTGATAATAGTATCGATAATATAGGTTAATATCGTGATAGTATCAATTACGTGGATAGTATCGATAGTATCTAGCTTAATACTAATGCCTTAGGTATACTACTCTCTTAACGGCTCGGTTACTATAGAGATCTCTAGAGTTAGGGTTTCTTAGGGTTATTAAAACAACCCTACTAAATCTATTATTCGACTTACTCTTTAATACATACCTCTCTTACTAAATTTATATAGTAGTAGTATAAATAGAAGAGATAGTAGAAAAATCTAATTAGAGTTACGGAGCTTCCCGACCTTACCTTATCGCTAAAAACTACTACTACTATACCTCGTACGCCTTCCTATATATTAGAACACTTTCGGCCTATTAAAGATAATTGTTATAAAATAGTAGCTTAGGAGGAAAGTAGGAGTAGGCCTAGTAGTAAGCTGAGTAGTTACGTGACCAGGTCACGTGACACGCCAAGCTTAGTGATGCCAGCTAGAAGGGGGAGAGCGGGCTTCTCTCTCTCTCTTACCTTCTACTATCCTTTACTCTATACTCTACTTTAGATATACTATACTATTACGGGTCCTTCTTCTTCGATTATTAAGTCCTTACTTCTACTACAAACTATATAACTATATCCTATAGACAATAATAATACCTATAAGACAAAACAAGTCGTCTATAAGTACTATAATAGATTTAAGTGTATTAGTTACTCTAAAGAGCGTAAATCTAGGTATCTACGCGAATGCCCTACCTACTAGCGTTACTAAACCAAATAAGTAGTACTACGGCTATAGTTACTAACTAAGGTACTACGCTCTACTAACCTACGCGATTACCTTAAGCTATAGTTAGTAAAATAGTAACGCGACGAGCTCTTCGTACGCGCTATCTATAACGGTAGGTATGCCTTTAATATTACTAATAAGAGTACCTATCCGGAGTAGACTACTTTTATCTACGCTTTCGATAATAAGTACGAATTACCTAGGCGCGAACGCCTTACGAACGAGCTACTTATTAATAAGTTCCTATACGTTATAGAAAAGGTAGATACTATAGTTAAGAGCGAGTAATATTAGAACTATACTATAGACGAATCTAATACTAGTAATAGCGATTAAATCGCTAACCTTTATATTAATACTACGTATAGTATAGCCTTTTACCTATACTCTATTAGTACTAAAGAGATAGATTATAGCGGCGAAGAGCTAGCTATATACTTTATAAACTAGGTTAAGGAGCTACCTACGAATCGGCGTTACTATAACGGTATACGAGCTCCTTCTAATATTAGTAGGTAGAACAGCCTCTATACGGACACTTGCTTAGTAATACGTAATCTTTATATATAGTTATAGGCTAATCTAGAGACAAAACACGTATTTACGGTACTCTACGATTCGTACGGATTATAGCTATTAATAGCTAATATCGTATATTAAAAGGAGGGTATTTAGTACTATAGACAGACGCTAAGCGACTGCTCCTTCCTTTCTACCTTCCTTAAGCGCTCGAAGAAGATAATAGTAACGCTCCGCCGTATTATAAAGGACGAGAATAGCGTACTACTAGTAACGCTCCGCCGTATTATAAAGGACGAGAATAGCGTACTACGCGCGTTCGTAGTAGTAGTACTAACTCGCTAGGGCTCTTACTTTACGTTAGTTAATTTACTAGCTATCGGCTCTAATATACTAAGACTAGTAGTACGTAAGGAACTAAGGCTCTTTAAGGACAAGAATAGTAGGCTAGTAAAGAATACTATACGAGCTATTACCTTAATTAACGATAATACCTTCTAGTACTATGTCGAGTACCTTTATACCCTTCTTAGTTACGTTAACGAGGCTTAGTTAATAAGCGAATCCGATAGATTACGCGTTAGATAGGTAATCGATCGCTAGTACGAGCTACGAGCTACTATTACGAACACGAGTAACGAAGAGCTACCTTTTAAGAAGGAGCTATAGTAGCTCCTTAATAAACGGCTAACTAAGTAAACTACTACAATCTACTAGGCTACTCGAGCTATCGATTACGTAAGGCCGGTACTATTACGGTAGTTTAATACTAATATAGACCGTACTATAAGGCGCTTCTTTCGCGACTATAGTACTAACGACACCTACTACCGACTAATTAAGTAATAGGCCTTATTTAAGGCTAGATTAGGCCTATTTAACGTACTTTATAACCCTAATCTATACGAGGTAGCCGACAAACCTCTTATCTACTAGGATTACGTAATTAGCGAATGCTCTAAGCTCGCTAGTATAGCGCTTCGTTTGCTCTATATACTAGCTAATTTAGTAAGTAGTAGTAGCGACAGTAAGGCGGTAATATAGCCTCTTTTTATCTACTAATCTAGTATACGTAGGTACTAAGTAAACGCTCCTTTTTAGCTATAAACTTTATATAAAACGACTTCCGTACGGCTGTTACGGGTAAGCGTCGTATATACTAAGGCTCTATATTAGGGTATAATAAGTTCGATACGGAAGGAGAGAGAATCTATCTAGCCCCGGATTCTAAAGTACGGAATCTAGTATACGTAGCCTACGAGGCTTAGCGCTAAGCCCTACGTATAGGCATCGCCTAGTATAATATCCTTAAGGGCTCGCCCTTTATAATACTCCCTCCCTCCGCCGTATATAGGCGTCGTCCTTACTATAACTAATAAACGCCCTCGTACGTACTCGAATAGGTCGTAGAGCTATTATAATAAATGGCCCCTCTATTATCGGTATCTAGTATACTTATTACGGAAGTAAGTCGCTACGCGCTAGTACCTACGTAGTATTATTAGTTATTATCGGTATTGTCGCCTATTTAGCTATTATAGAAGTCTCCCTATTATACTTTCCTTCGGAGGCCTACTACTACCTTCGGAAGCCTCTACCGTATTGTCGCTACCGCCTATTATACCTTCCTATTGTCTAGCTTACTATTATCCGCGAAATATATCTTAGTTTCCTTCTCTTCTTCTTCTTCTTCCTTTAAATAACTAATAATAAGGTATAAGAACTACCCCCTTTACTAAAACTAGTACCTACTTAGTAACCCTCGCCTTATTTCCTCTACTTTGCTAAGTTTAACTTCGTTAAGTTCGAGCGCCCGCGATCCCGGGTTCTCGTTTTACGCCCGTAGACTCTATACGTTACTATCCGGAGTTCTACGGTTTTCTCCTCGTCGTTTCCTATATCTCCCTTAGGCTATCGTTTACTAACGCGTCGCTATACTTTTTCTCGAACTCGTCTAAGGTAGCGTTATCCGTAAAGTTATCTAAGGGCTCCTACGTTAGGCGCTAGTAACCGGTCTATTTTACTAAGACTTCTCGACGACTGTCTCTTCCTCTCGCCTTTATCCGAGCGTAAAGGATCTTCTCGACGTACTACTCTTTATACGACTCTATAAGCGTAGGTTCCGGTTGTTCGTCGTCGCGCTTCTAGCCCGGTACGTTACGGAACTACGGAAGTAATCGCCTCTAGCGACCTAACTAGCTAACTGCCTACTAGCCGCCTACTAGCCGCCTACTAGTAGGATTAACGTAGCTAGGGCGGCTAGCGGGCGGCTAGCCGGCGGTTAGTCGGCTAGTCTACTAGAGGCGATTACTCCTAGCTAAAGTCTAAATAAAAGTTATATTAATATTTTTCGAAGACTCGAGTTCTACTACGCCGCTTATTTTAGGGT